CATTCATTTGCTGCTTGCTTCTCTATCCATTCCAATCGACAGAATTTTTCAAAACGTTTTGAAAGCGTTTTTACAACGCTCCAAACTTCTCAGGTGAGTGTGACTATTGTCGGCAGCCTCTTTTTCTTCGGCAACTCTCCCATTAGAACTGCGTGTTAACCAGCTGTTCTATTATCGGCAACTCGAAATCAACCCCATTTTGTAGTGGGTATGCTTTATTTGAAGAAAAATGTAGCATTACTGGATTGCTCGATCGTTCAAATATAATCAGATTGAAGCTGAAAGGCTAAACAATCGTTTGGACACATTCAGGGAAGTGCGTTGATGGCAAAACATAGTGAAATTAACGTTTAAATTTTGGTTGCCGAAAACAATCAATGGGTGCCGAAGCCAACATTTACCCTATTTGAAGTAGCGGATTTCTTTTGAGAAATCGCGAATTTCGCGGATCAAATTTAGAAAATCTTGTAACAGCCCTGCATTTACTCGCTGAACATTGCTAGCAGTGAAGGGAGCAGATATAGATGAAGAATTTGAAGGAAGGGTGATATTTGTGCCTACGGGTACGAATAAAGAATTTGTTCATCGCTGACCGTTGTTAACAGCAGAGGAATTTGTACCTGTTCGGGAACCTGGAGCGTTTCCTACCTGTCACTTAGAACGAAACTGTAGGATCGCTTTGCGAGTCTTACATTCCCAAAAATTGGATTTGTGGTTTTCACCACAATTTGAACATTTAAGGTGGGCGTTGGCCAAATTTGGATTTTTCAGATATAATCCTAAATAGGACCTAGATTATTTAATACTCTAGTAACCTCAAGTCCGTGCTCTGTCACAATGTTTCATTGTGATTAATCAACACTCAAAGGGGTAAAATATCAAATTTGGGGTGAATTTGAAAGAAAGGGAACTTGGAGTGTAGAGCGCACTGCCCACTGGACGATTCTGAAGCCTGGCCAAGTGAGTGGGGTATGGGTTTATTTGATTGAACGTCATTTCCAATGTATATATTGATACATTCAAACCATTGGCATTTGAGATAAGACAGAGACAGGATGCGGAGGGCCCGCTTAGGGGGAGCGTAACCCATGTTATGGTTTCCATTTATTAAATAGTTCAGATAGGCTGGAAATGACAGGTTCATGGTGAGAAAATGTACCATATGGGGCCCGTTCACTGATCAAAATCAGATTCACATCGTCAGACCCTGCCCAAGAATAAGGGGATTGACGATGTCTTGTCAAGTTTTATTTTGAATTTGCGTTTTGTATTTAATACTCTAGTAAATCTCGCGTCCGTGCTCAATCACAACAGTGTGAGGTGTCAATGCTCACTGGGTCATATGTCTTAGACCAGTTCCAGATTAGTTTGCTATTAATATCTTCTGCATCGCAGTTCGCGATAGATTCCTAAATATGGGTTCTCTTTTCCGACCATAATAGTGTGAGGGAAGGGGGTGAGTTCTGGATCAACAATGGAAGGGGGCCCATCGGTTTTTGTGGGCAGACCGTCCAGAGCCCATTCCTCACAGATCGGGGGCTGCTCGCGCGGGCCAACACCGTCTTCGTGTAGGTGGAAGTTTTCCCTATCCGATGATGGTGTTGGTTTGCGTGGGTGGCCTTCGCTTTGTGAGTGGGGGGCTTTGGAGCGGTTTGTTTACGAATGCTGATGGGCCCTTTTCTATTGTTGATCCAGCGTTAAACGTTCGATATGAGAGCGACTAGGGCAAATAAATAGGGAAGACAACACCATGACCCAAATAAGTAACCAATGCATGCGGCTCACACTTAACTTGTTCTATTTCTTTCTTTCTTCCTATCATGTACTAATATTAACTGCCTGAGGACAAATGGGAACACGACCAGAAACCAGAAACGAACAAGAAAAGAAGAATTAAACTTGCATCGGCAAGAGGAAACAGACAGAAAGGATCATGCCGGTTGGAGACAGCCAATGTATACTGGACGAAGCTTGTATCTAGGAAAAGTCGTATGTGCAGGAAACCGTAAGTAGGATAAGAATCGTAAAAGGTGTGTGCTTGCTTGATAAGATCCTAACTTTACTTTAAATACACGGTAGGAATCGAATATCCATTTATGATTAAGGTTTTGCCCATTTTTCAGTGGGAGTGGCAATACTCATTGATGAGTGATTTATCGTACCCATTTATTAGTAACTGTTAGCAGCTAATGATTAATTGATTTACCTATTTTAGAATTACCTATACTTCACATCAGAACCTCATTTCCTTCAATTACTACTCCGTCACAGCACACACCTTATATGGATCGCTAACCTTTATTTAGTTTCAGCATTTTCGACATTATAATCAAAAGGTGAGTTTTAAAAGTATAATTACCATGCATAAGTTAATGTACCAGAACCTGGACGGACACGAGCCTACCCAGGGGAGGACCCGGATACGACCACCCATGTGTGTCTAGAGTATCGCACGAGCTGACGAGTGCAACGGGAAGGACAGTAGGTGTATAGACTAGGGGGTTGGTCCCTAGATAAGCCTTCTTAGCGGAAGGCACAGCCTATGCACTGAACAATTACAAATTACAATTACAATTCACCACAATTTGAACATTTAAATTTCTTAGGATCATCCTTCACAGGGGACAGTCGTGAAATCGCTCTAATGAAACTTGACATGTCATACATCTAACATAGTAGTAGTAGCAGTGTCACACGATCTAACAACAATTGTCTTGCAAATATTGCTAGAATGGTCAGCAGGGCTAAATACGGATCAAAACTAACATAACCTTCCTTATTTTAATTTAATTACCTTCGGTGATTTGATATATTCTTCAGATTTCATAAAACAATATTTACATGTATTGCAAAACATGGTCCTCTGTACGTTTACTTTCCAACTTTTATTATTACTACTGTTACTCTGACTATCCCCTACTTGAAACACAGTTCCTCCCTATCCGGCATCTTGAGCAGGATTCACTTGATCCCTGTGATGATTATTCTGTGGTGCCAAATCTTTACCTCAACCCTTGTGCAGCATGGACAGTGATATTTCACTGGAGATCTGGCCCTATGACCCCCTTCTGTGCTTGAAAATGAAAATGAATTATGGAACATAGTTGACAAATTGCTGGGATATTCAAATCCTAATATTTTTTTTTAATATTAAAATTAAACTTGTTTTTAGTCGAGGGGGTGGACGATTTTCTACATTTAAAATAAAATGCCTATTTTTTCCAATCGCTGGTTTTGCTAAAATCAATTATATTTAGTTGTTTTATTTCCTTTGGTTTGTTTTTTTTCCGTCGATCTTGTTTTCCGTGCTGAGCACCAATGCTACCGACGTGCCAGGACGGCAGCTCCCACACCTGGACCCTACCTATCGACCCATCAACTCATGAACCGGGGACCAACGGCTTTACTTCCCATCCGAAGGAAGGCGTGATCAGAGATGTTATGCCTCAGAACATCCCGGCGGCGCCGACTGGGATTCAACCCAGGCCTGCTGGGGTGAGAGGTAATCACGCTTACCACTACACCACCGGCGCCGTTTGTTGTTTTATTTATTAGTTATTTATTTTAAACCGGAAAATATCCGGGAAAAAACGGGCATTTATTTCTTAAATCAAGTGGCCACCCTGTGTATGGCAAGTGCAACAATACTTTATTATGTCCATGGAAGTATATTAATGTCTCAAACAACTCGGGAGTTCCGCAAGGCAGTAACCTAGGACCGCTACTGTTTTCGATCTTTTCAAACGACGTCGCCTTTCTGATACCATCAGGATGCCGCGTTTTCTATGCAGACGATACTGCTGGGATCTCCAGAATATGTTAGGTATTTTTGCTGACTGGTGCTCAAGAAATTTGATGACTCTAAGCATAGAAAAATGTAACATTATTTTCTATCACCGAAAAATCAAACCAACCATGTTTGACTATGATCTCTACGGACGCTGTCTTGCTCGTGTAGACCACAATCCTCGGCGTTACCTTGGACTGCTGACTCACTTTCAGAATCCACTACAATGACATCATCTCCAGAGCTAATCGACAATTAGGCTTTATTTTCAAAATTGCCGACGAGTTTCGTGACCCGCTATGCCTCAGGTCACTTTACTGCTCGCTTGTGCGATCCTTATTGGAGTCAAGCTCAGTTGTTTGGTGCCCTTTCCATGCTAGCTGGATCACTAGAATTGAATCCGTTCAACGCAAGTTTGTGAGATATGCTCTTCGTTTCCTCAACTGGCGTGACCCAACGAACTTGACAGCGTACGAGGAGCGTTGCCGTCTCCTGTGAACCGTGCCATTATAGGTGAGACAGACGGTCGCTCAAGCTATGTTCGCTGGAAAACTGCTTACAGGTGACATTGACTGTCCAACATTATTATTATTTAGCTTTATTAAGGAGGCTTTCAGCCTTGGGCTGGTTCGCCTCCGACGACTGTCCAACACTGCTGTCATAGCTAAATATGTATGCCCCTGAGAGGTCTCTTCGTCAACGCGTTTTTCTGTTTTTGGAACCACGGAGCCGGAATTATACACAACACGAGCCAATTCAAGCAATCAGCCGACAATTCAACAACTTTTTTTTTATATTTTCGACTTCAATTTATCAGCTGACGTGTTTCGTCGTCGGCTACTTGGCCTTTTTCGTACCGTTGACCGTAACTATTTAGTTTAAGTTTTATTCATTTAGAGAATAATTGTCAGTTGAATTTTTCAATAAACAATAAACCCGAAAAATCCTTAGATCGACCGGGATTCGAACTAAGCAGTCTCCAGTATGATCTTGCTTTATAGCTACGTCGTGGGAGGGAAGAGCGTAAATGTATCTACCTAAGGAGTACTAAACTTCAACCAAGTCGGTGCGGTCACTCTACATTTGTCAAACCCGTTAAAAACGCCGAATTTCTGGTGCCAAATATACCTAACCGTAAATTTGTTGAAACAAAAACTCATGCAACTCAACATCATATTTCTACGTAGATTACAGTTTCAATTCACTCTTATAGCCGATCCAGCAAAACCTTCAAACCTAAAAAGAATATACCTGAAGGCACACATCAATATGATCTCATGAAACATGCCGCAGCTACGCTTGGGTCTGGAAATCTCCGTAATGCTGTGCAGCTTCCAGATGGCGAAGATCTCAACGAGTGGGTTGCTGTAAACAGTAAGTACTATATCTTATGTTCTCCTTTCTGTTTTCTCACATTCGTTTATTATAGCTGTGGATTTTTTTAATCAAATTAACATGCTGTACGGCACTATTACGGAATTTTGTACAGAAGATTCCTGCAGCATCATGTCTGCCGGTCCCAAGTACGAATATCACTGGGCAGACGGTCAAACGGTTAAGAAACCCATCAAGTGTAGCGCTCCTAAGTATATTGACTATTTAATGACATGGGTACAAGATCAACTGGATGACGAAACGCTGTTTCCTTCAAAAATTGGAGTTCCTTTCCCGAAAAACTTTATTCAAATAGCTAAAACTATTCTTAAGCGATTGTTTCGAGTGTATGCCCACATCTACCATCAACATTTCTCCGAAGTCGTTCGGCTAAGTGAAGAAGCACATCTGAATACCTCGTTCAAGCACTTTATCTACTTTGTTCAAGAATTCAATTTAATAGATCGACGAGAGTTGGCACCGCTGCAAGATCTGATTGATAAACTTATCACCAAGGATGGTCGATAATTTCCCAGCTTATAAAACGAAAGCGAGCGAACAACATGAGCATCTACACCGTATTTTAATAGAGATAACAAGTAAACATTTACTCTAATATCATGATTTTTATAATCATCAACTCATTTTCTCCTAATAGACATCTATTCTTCCTATGTTGTGAGCGTTTGTTCGTGTAGCATTCTAACACGTCGTCCACTATTTCACAATTTTATTTTAGTTATTTAATGTGTTATTTTTAAATTACGCAACCTGTAGAATAAATGTTATTTTTGTGAATACAATCAAGCTAGAGAGAAGAAAAAGCTCATCCACAATTTATATGTAAATATTTATTTTGGAAGTGAAAATAAGCAAATTATTCGATCTTACTTTAAAAGTAAAGCTTATTACGTACAGCATGGTATCGGTCCTACTCATTTCGTCATGCTTATTTCGATTACGCAACAATCTCCACTAAAAGCAATTATTACGCTCGAAACGCCCAAAAACCAAGTGGACGAAAGATGTAACCATCGTGTTCCTATTTTGACCCTTGCAAGCAGTATTTTTTCACCTCATAACTAAAACTCAGGATCTAGCTAATTTCTATATGAGTGATGAACATTTCTAAAACAGAAATCTCGTTGGCAGCGTGATCAGCAAGAAAACAACTGCAGTCAAGAGTTTTAATTATGAGTAAAAAAATGCGCATTAGGAACAGTAACCCTATCCCTAGTGTGCAAATAAGTTAAACTAGTGCTTGAATGGTTTCATCAGCAATTAGTGTTTAAGTTCAAGCTGCCTCCGATAGTTTGCGATACCAGTTATTCTAAATGCTCTTTATATGGCTGAAATGATCACCACAGAGGCATTATTAAAACTAATAAGAGCTGCATAATATCTATATACAATAATAATGGGTAACGATCAAATTGCATGATTTGATGTACGACGACTGATAAAGTATGAATGAAAATATAAATTTGTATGAAATAAAGACAAACTTCTTTCTCTTAATTATCACCACTTTCTATGAACCATTTCACGACCAACATGTTATTTTATTCCTGTTCAGCCAATCCGCCCTCACTTATGCGCAACAATAGTATTCCATGCACATGCACTGCAATCCTTTTGTCACTGCAAATGTATACTACTCACTACCATATGCTAGAGGGTAGTTCGAATACCGATCCGTTCTTGGAAGATTCCGGGTTGAAAATTCTCTCGAATTAACTAGGCAGGGTATCATTGTATCATCTACTTGCCACACTAAATATGAATGCAAAAAAAATGTTAAGGCTTAGAATTCTCTCAACCAAGGTTGCAAATACTCATTTCAGCTAAAACAATGTTTTTTTAAATTATGAAATAATTAGATGCCATGATCATATTTTGAATTGGTAGGATATAAGAAGAGGTTGCAACGAATGTGTTTGACATATTAAACCTGTTTATTTCACTTCATGAGAGTCACAATCAGCGATTTTTCACACACTCACTCACTCACTCACTCACTCAGCGATCAGATCGCTGATTGTGACTCATAGAAAGCAAAATTTACAAGTTTTATATTTCAAACGCATACTTTGTAACCTCTTCTTGTAAGTTACAAGTAAAACATGTCATCATACCATCTTTTGGTTTTATTATTATTTTAGCTGAAATGCAACCTTGCTCTTAACTAGCAACCAACAACTAGCGATTAAGCGTAAAATTCTAGTTGGGAAGAAGTGACCAAGAAGAAGAAACAATGTATCGCAAACTTGTTTTTTTGTATTTGTCGGCAAATTACCTGCCAAGCTACCTATTATTATACCAGATTATACCTAACGACTTAACATGTGGATGAGTGAATCACATCTGATTTGAAATTTCAATAGCTTGGTTCATACAATCAATCAACCAGATTAAACCGATAGCATTATTTAATCACGTGTAAAGTGTACCGCCCTGTGCTGCACAACAGTACCATATTTGCTTGATTTCATGTTTTAATGTAGTGATGACCAAAGTGCGGCCCGCGGGCCGCACGTGGTGCTTGGACAGAGATCAAGCAACAACCTCAGCTTGAATTTCTGTCAGCAGTACGGATGTAGGTATGGCCGAAATGATTGGGAAATACGCAAAATTCGAACACAGATACAGATTTTGAAAAAAATATGCATTTACACCACTGTTCTAATGGGACTATTATGCCACACAGGGCAGTGTAGGATTAGTTACTTTTGCAGCTGTAGGACAAATTATGCTTCATGAAAAATTGCGTCTTTTTGGCAATCAGTAACTTGAGACTCCGTCATAATTTCAAAGGCATTCTCAAAACAGCTAACAATTACCGCGTTGCAATTAAGTAATTATTTTTATTTCCTATACATAACAATTGTCACGTTGATTGCATTCTATATTGCTCTGTTTCGGCGAACCAAAATGCCTGTTCCTGTACCTGCTTCTTCCAGTACACTGTAAGATCGTGATAAGAATCACCGGTGCCACCCAATTCTGGAGGAAGATTAACGAGTGTACCGATGTGTGTTCCTCGCTTCGACACCTTCACGCGCGATTTCATTTTCGTGCTCATAAAACTCCTACAACAATGTTGATGATAAGATACGGGATTAACGTTTATAATCAAACAGAACGAAGGTAAAGGTTGAATACCTACCTAAATACATTCAATACGAAATTAACGTGAATCGGAGCGTTTACGAATTCCAAAAGCTGCGGTCGGCAGGGGTAGTTTTCCCAGCTCTCGACGGTACTGGAATTTTAATATTCAATATCAGTTTGATTTCTTATTCTAGTTTGTCTATAAATATGTAGGCTTTTAATGTAGGGTAGGACGGGGCAATATCGCCACTCTAAGGTTAAAATAATTTGTATATGTAATAAACGCAAATTAATACATTCAAATATTGTTTGTCCTAGTTCTTTAATATCTTCTCTAGCTCCCTAGGGTAGATAATATTTAATGTATTCAAAATTAACTATTTACAAAAAGAAACTTAAAAATTAACTTTTTTACACCATTCTCAGACACCCCTGGGGAGGAGACGTACTTTACTGTAACATATATAGCAGAATTTAATAATTTATGATTTTTTTTACTTGAATTGAAAGTCGTAACAAACGAAAAAAGAGATATTAATTATAAACAAAGAGGAGAGAGAGGATTTTTTTTTTGGTTCGGCGTATTTTGTTAGTTATTAATATATTTTAATCAGTTTTAGGATAGGGAAACATTGTTGGTATGTGCAGTTTTCATAAATATAGGATTTTTTATGGAAAAATATAAAATTAAATGCCCCAGGGTGCGTTCTTGCCCCGTCCTACTCTATTTAAAATTACTTGAAAGAGCCTACGTGGTTTGTACATTGAGGTTTACCGTTTTACTAAGGATGGTGGCAGCTGCAGTGCATGACTTAGTGTGACATTTTTCATGTCAAAGATAGCCACTATTCCGTAGATTGATATGGTTTCATCTAAGTGAAGTAAAAGATCCAGAATCATTTTGTCCACTTTGAATACATTGTCCTGTGTGTGATATTTAGGATTGTGCGCTGCTGTTCGTATGATCACCACCTGCCGATTGTGGATGTCTTTTTGTTTCAGCGGTAAGAAAACGCCAATATCAAGTAGTTCCTGTATTTCAGCTAAGAACGGATCCCTGTTTTGGAACCACTCTACACGGCTGGATCGTATTTTGTAATACCTGTAAATAGATTTCCTTAGAATTCGGCATTTCCCCAACCTATTTTTTTTTAGATTGAAATATCAATATATTGCCTGGATGAATAATTCTTTCGAAGTTTTTCTCTACAGATTTCAATGCAAAACTTTATGACAAAACTGGCTTTATGCTAATTGAGGTAGCCCGTGTTGAATTTTTTTGTGCTGGTTTATACATAATCATTCACAGACATTTAGTATAAATCCATTTGTCATAAGGTCGTTCGGCATGTAGATAGTACAATCAAAAATCACTTGATTATCGGATTAGAAATCATCGGTGTTCGGAAAAACTCAAATCTCATGTGTGAGATTATTCGCCTAAGAGTTTTGCCTTGCGAAATTCAGCAGCAAAAAAACCACAGATGAGTTTTTCGGTTCAAAAATGCATTCCTTACATTTTGGCGTTATGCATGCATGGTTCCTAGTATTATTTTTGCACTATTTGTTGAAAAACTAACATAAACACTAACGGTACATGCCATAAATTGACGTTTGACCGGATTTTATGTGTTTTGAGATGGAATGAATTTTTGGCGTTGTGAGTGTGAGTCCGTGAAAATGCATAAAAATCTCAATTGCTTGGTTTGTTTGCAAATTCGCTCGCGAGTTTATTCGCTCAGGAGTGCTCAATGAATGAGATTTGAGAATGATATTATTTATCTAAATTAATTCAATGATTTCTCCCATGTCTGACTGACATCAGTTTTTTCCTTGATTTGTTTTCCGTCGATCTTGTTTTCTTTTTTTTTGTGCTGAGCACCAATGCCACCGACGCCAGGGAGGCAGCTCCAACACCTGGACCCTACCTATCGACCCATCACAACTCATGAACCTGGGACTAACGGCTTTACTTCCCCGTGATCAGAGATGTTATGCCTCAGAACATACCGGGCGGCGCTTACTGGGATTGAACCCAGGCCTGGGATGAAAGGTAATCACGCTTACCACTACACCACCGGCGCCACTAATATAAGGATTATTTAGCACGATGTCAACGAAACATTTAAGAGATCTTCTGAATAGGGCTGGTAATATAATTCAGCTAGATTTTTTGTTATTGTTGAGGGAGTTCCCCCCTGTTCCCAAGCTTGAAGAAGTCAGGACTAGGAATCGGTGGTAGATCTTACATCCCGTAACGTATCACGAAAAGATGATCTACCCACGTTACGGGGCGTGCTGTAACGTACAAACACTCACCCTATTATGCAAGTCACTTGACTCTCTCTCTCTCTCACCGGTGAAGTGACAATTCTCACATCGTGTGAGGTGACTCTCCATTTGATTTGCCACCTTACCGGTGACAGAGAGTCACGTGACTAGCAGAATAAGGAGACTGTACCATCTCCTACTGTGTTACCAGACTTATAACTAATATACTAGTATCCCGAATACATCGTATGACTTGTCTAATTTTGCTTAGCATTTGGAATATAAAATTAGACGAACTATACGAACGCTACTCGTATACAACGTATATTCGTTATAAGTCAGGTAACACAGTAGGAAAATTACTGCAAAGGAAGCAAACAATTCTCGATTACTTTTTCAAATGAATGTATCAACTTTTGTAAACAATGCATTTGATAGTCGGTTTGGCGTAACTGGAAGCGAGCTCACGCATACTAATACCGCAGACAAACATACATAACACAGTGAATATTTTTCAATATAAAACATCGTCGCTAAAACAATACCGTCATCTGTTGAGTATAGTGTGATGGGCACTACGCTGAACAGATGGCGGTAGTGTGTAAAAGTCAAACGTAAGGGAATTGAATATGCGTGCCACTGGTGGCGATACTACATTTTAATTGACCGTTAAATGCGTGTTCGATGAACAACTTGCGAGAGTTATGTCTGTTTGTCTGTGCCTATACTACAATCAGATAGGGGAAATTTTAGTGGTGTTAGTATGCGAGGGCGAGTCACCAGTTACGCCAAACCGACCATTAAATGTATTGTTTACAAAAGCTGTTATGGCCCTTCGAAAAATTAATCGAGAATTAGCTATGTTTTGGGAGCATGTGAATAGGCAAAATTATTTGGTACTTACATTAGAATCTTTTGCTTAGCTTTCTCAACATCGTATTTGGCAGTACGTAAAAAATACACAACATATCGAACGTCGTTGTGTATCCGCAGGTTAGGTTGTTCATTTTGTAGCCATTGAATAATTTCTGCGAGTGCTTCGTTTCTTCTTACAGTCGTTTCACCAAGAACTCTTGCAGCATGCTCATAGCAGGACTCACTCAAACAACAAACATAAGAATGTTTCATTGCTTTTAGTATCCACACCTACCGCGGGAAAACCTATCAGCGCAGCTCTGGTTCTGTCGAAACCCTTATTCAAACTGCTTACAATGGTGGTGTCTGAAAATGATATAAATCCGTGGGTACCTATTTAATATAATTTTAATCCGATAGCCAGAATTTAACGCTTCGCTGCATATGGGTTGTGAAGTTGTGATAACAGCAGTGGTAGTTGATAACGATGCAAAGAAAAAAAAAGCAAGAACACACACGTCTGCTCAACGAATTAGCTCACTATGTTTTATTACTTTATACATAAACGACTCGCGGATTCACGAATGATTAGACCGATTAGACGCTATCAAAATGACTAGCAAAGGTAATCCGCGACTCGAGTTCCATAATAATTCAAGCTGAACATTGCATTAGGTCCTAGGTAAAATTGATCGATTATCTTCGTCGACTTTTTCTTTCGTTAATAACTTGAGCACATAATTGTTTCTTGTTATGTTAGTCGTATTACGTGCTAGATAAAAGCTTATTTTATCGATCTGTGTGCTGAAAATACCTGGGAATGTCTTTAAATGGCCATGGGGATACAAAGAGAAAGTCGACGAAGAGAATCTGTCAATGTTACTTAGGACTTAAAACAATGTTTAGCTTGAATTATTGTTACCATAATAAATATGTAAACAAAACCTCGAACAAAATAAACCAAAACTTTCACGTTTAACTAGAAATACTCAGAGGGAGAGATGGGCGGAGAAAACAAAATGCAATAATTCGACAGCAGAGATTTGTACACTGAAACAAATCGACGTGTACGGTTTATTGAATCCATCTTATACCATCCCTAATAAACAAATACCATAAACGAACTGTATCCCGGATGGGGAAACCGAGGGGGAAACTATCCCACAAATGGTTTGGATGATACCCCGAACACGTCGTTAAGCTCTCTTTTATGGTTATTTCTATTAAGGATTGCAATGTTAGAAGATTTTTATTCATTCTATGTGATGATTGATAGATTCCATTCAGTTAAAAACTAAAACTGCGATATGGAATGATTTCTATTGTAATTTCACATACTTAGTACATGACATTCACTTGCTTCTGACATGGTTAGCGACGGGTAAGATGTATATGAATATTGTCTGATATATTTTTATAGTGAAAACTAGAAATACTAGAAGGAGAGATGAGCGGAGAGAATGTTTTGAGCCAAATGAACTGTCAAAATCTGAGCCAAACGACCATTCCCATTAGAATTTTTCCGAGGATTTCTTATTCTTACTAGATTACATTTGAGAGTATTGCCACAGACAAACAGACATAACACATTGAATATTTCTCAATGTAAAACATCGTCGCTAAAACATTACCGCCATCTGTTGAGTACACTGTGGTGGGTAGTGCGCTGAACAGATGGCGGTAGTGTGTAAACGTCAAACGCAAGGGAATTGACTATGCACGCCACAGGTGGTGGTACTACCAACTACGATACTTTTGAATTGACCGTTAAATGCTTGTTCGATGAACAACTTGCGAGTGTTATGTTTGTTTGTCTGTGGTATTGCAATCGAACAGAAAAATTCAATCACCTTCATGTTTCGTGTGCTTCTCAAATTTAACTAGTTTTTGGAATCAAAAGCAATATTCTAACTCTATTGATTAATTGATCTTAGTTGGTTAATTAATGGCACCAAAAAATGTGGAAAATATTTCGATGCAATCAATTATTAATTTGCACGTAAATCGAATCAAAAGTAAAAGTCATGTGAAATGCTAAGTTTTAGCAAGGGTTGCAACATAATTTAGATACAAATCCCTGCTGCCGAATTGTATTTTGTTTTCTCCGCCCATCTCTCCCTCTGAGTATTTCTAGTGAAAACCTGTTGATATGTCATGGGTGGGAACGGACATTAACTACACAGCAAAAAAAAATGTAAAATCGATCAATGTAATTCAAGCTGATATATGAAATAATAATGTAATAGCAAAAAGCAGATACAATATTACATCAATGGATGTAATTTTGTTCGCAAAATCGATGTACATCGTACAACGTTATATTACACAACCGATGGATTGACCTGGTTGCAGCAGTTTAGATGTAATATTCAACAACTTTTTTTTCTGTTTGTCCAATACTTTCTACACTAATAAAATTCCACACATTTTTATTGACGAATTTCCATGTGAAATTCCACATGATTTTCATGTGACCACACATAAACAGAATCCACATAATCACACATAAAATTTATGAGTCAAATGAATAGTATGTGTGGTTACACATGGCTTTTATGTGTACATATCTAGATAGAGCTGGAATTAGGGCCTAACAGCTTTTGTAAACAATGACTTCTCTCGATGATTTCTAGAAACTCAAGGCTCGCCCAATCAAATCAATATCACCATCAGGTATGGGAAGTCTTCCCCTATCCGATGGTTATAATCGTCTGCGTGGGCGTGCCTTGAGTTCCTAGAAATCATCGATAGAAGTCATTGTTTACAAAAGCTGTTAGGCCCTAATTCCAGCTCTATCTAGATATATTAAGTATGTGTCCGACACATAGATATTATTTGTTGATCACATTGCAAAAATTCATGTGTGGGACACATACAAACAATCTTTGAAATTTTATCAGTGTACACAGCAAAAAAAATGTAACATCGATCCGTTATCCGTTTCAAGCTATAGGTAATCAAATTGCATACTTTAAAAAAAAAATCACAATTTTTGGTGTAAATACAGAAATTTTTAAAATATGTCTATATGGAATGGCATCAAAATCCGACTTATCTAAAAATTTCAGCATGTGAAAAATCAAAATCTCGGTAGTTTTTTTTTTACGCGGTTTTTTTTACGCGGCACGTATCCCCCGCGTAAAAAGCGACTCCAGTGTAGTTTTTTGACAGATACATCAAAGATGAATACTAAGATGAAACTGTCGGAAGAAAAACTTTCTATTTTAGTGTCCTTTTTCACGGTCCCTTTCATCCAATGAATACCCTCCGTATTCAAAGTATTTTTTTGGTTTTGCTGCCCCCTCGGTAGAGATGAAATTTTGCGCTCATTTTTATCAAAACAAACACACCAAAATCAGAGGTGTCCCATTTTTTAATTACTCGATTAACAACTAATCGATTTTTTTTTGTTCGCTGTGCTGCCATTTTTCCAGCAATGAGAGTGCAGCACATATTTGAAACGATCGGTGATGATCCTCTGGAGACGTTAATGCTTATATCCGATTGATGTAACCGATTACAAATATTTTACTTTTCGGTTCGTTAATCGATTAATCGATAATTCGAATGAAAATCGGCCATCACTAGATGAATGTGAAACGTCATTTCAAATATATGGACCGTACATAAATAATGATACAATTTGAAAGGGACCGGGGCTCATCACAAATTACGTCCACACGGTAACTGAAATAAACACGAGTGTTCACCGGTTCGATACATGCCAATAGAGCATTTTATGAGACGTTTCTGGTTCAACTCATGAATGAACTTTGACAGGAGGCGGTTACCTAACGGCTGTGAGAAGCAATATCAATATCATCAAATTCTGGCAGGCAAACCAGCTCCTGTCATTTCATAAAATGGACTATTATTAGATAGTCATATAGATTTGCGTTTTAAGGAATCCAACAGCAAACATTTGTTTTGGCATGGTTTTTGGGAAGAATATCGCTCCCAATAAAATACATAATTTTCAACGATGTTATCGTACATGTTATGGTACAACGGTATAACAGTACAGCCACAGACAAACAGACATAACACATTCAATATTTCTCAATGTAAAACATCGTCGCTAAAACATTACCGCCATCTGTTGAGCACACTGTGGTGGGCAGTACGCTGAACAAATGGCGGTAGTGTGTAAACCTAGGGGCACGCAATAACCTTTAACTCCAACTCAGGCAACAGCTGTAATTAAATTAATTCCATTAACTACTGCTTTAATTACATTAATTACACAATGTACAACATTAACTACTTTTTAACCTCGTTTTTAACTCCATTAATTACAGTTTAAATTTCGTAATTAAAGTACATTAATTACATTTCCAATACTTTTAATCACATTAATTACGGATATATAATTTTAATTACTGTCGGTACTACTTCAAAACGCATTAATTACTTTAAGTCTCGCTTTAAGTACTGTTGATTGCATTTTAACTTCAACGCACCGGTTCTTTATATTGCGTGCCCGTCGGTGTAAACGTCAAACGAAAGGAAATTGACTATGCGCGCCGCAGGTGGCGGTGCTACCAAATACGATACTTTTAAATTTACCGTTAAATGCTTGTTCGATGAACAACTTGCGAGTGTTATGTCTGATGCTTTGTATGTCTGTCAATGGTATTACGCGCATTAGATCCGTTTGCGTTCCGTTGACGTAAATTTGACAGTTAGACAATACATATACAAAGTCCCACCAAGGGGCGGTAAGATGATGATTTTTGCTAATGTAATCGTACTTATTTAAAATAGTTCCAGTGTACCAAAATTGATAAAATTTTGGATTTCGGTTCCATTTTTGATGCAGATAACGAATCTATGTATTTACCTCAATACCCCTAGACAACCCAATTAATTATATGATTTGAGTAGTAACTACACTGAAGATCCGAGAGATGTCGCCCCTTCAGTGGTAGGAAAATCATTTTTGCAGTATGGAGAATATCAGAAAATCCACGATTTGTGACTAAACATACTTTCATAGAAGGAAACAAATAAACGAGTGTTTACCTTATCACCATAGTAATGTACTCGTGCAATTTTTGTGCATCTAAAACTGCCCATAAAGACGATAATGAATAAAAACTGAAAATTTTCATGCATTTCCAAATGGTTTCCTCATTCCCAAACATTCGAAAGTGACTGGCCCTCTGGATGTGGATGATGTAAAAAACAACAAAACATGATTAATTGAGTAATTCCAAAGTAGTTCCTAAAATTATTCAAGTAATCCCAGAAATTTCGGTAATCGAAGAGTAATTTGAAAGTAATAAAGTAATGTTAATTAATTGAAAAGTAATCAGAGTAATTTTCGGTAATCTGACTGGCACTGACCAGTAATTAACGCTTGTAGAACCCCCTCGGTGCAGCCGTTTGGATGTAATATCTCGGTCGCGGCCATCGGTCTTCTCGTTCATTTACCGGCAGATTGCTTCTTCCGATGAAATGCCGAATATGTCGATAAATAACAATGCAATGCAAACTTTTAATTCTATCAACGGTTCTTTTAACTTTATCAATTATTATTTTTTTTTTGTGTTATATATGCGCCGAATAATCCTCTTGCCTGTTTGTTTGTTTGCTTGCAGTGAACCAAGGGGGGAGGTGGCTGTCAAATATGAACAATCGTCGATTCCAAACGTTAACAAGCCATAAGAAACCTACAGGGTTTGTTTACATTTGAAACCAATTTCATACAAGAATGATCAGTAGGCTGATTTGACAGCACGTTCCACCCTAGCAGGGAACAGCGAAGATAATCTGACATTTTCAGCGTTGTGCACAACGGTCCATGGACATTATGGTTGCCAGCCAGCATCATTTTTCGCTTGCCGTTTTGACAGCCAGGTCGACACGTAGAAACACCCAGAAGAAACACAATCATCACAGACCAGCCCAGTGGCAGGCGCGTAGGCAACATGTTATACCGTGACAGCGGGCCCAAAACAGCAAAATAAACAATTTGAGCCCGGGACATGCTACCTACTGTCAAACGCTGCTGATGGTATAGGCATTGTCACTGGGCTGGCACAGACACAAGGTGGCAGAGTGACTTACCCCCTTGGGCAAAATCTAATTTTGAGGATATTCAACATTAAAAACACAAAATTAAAATCTAAACTACTATGAACTGATTAACAAGGGTCAACTCGAGCTGAACGGTGTAAATAATAGACCTGAACTGCATACTGATTTAAAATAAATCCATTTTTTCGCTTCGAAAACTTTGACAGCGTTTTTCACAGCTTGACATCATTGTTAGTTTCACCCGAGGTTTCACCCACACGGAGGACAAAAAGCGGACGATCAGTTTTTTATCCACTCAATATCAAAATTTCGTCCAGCCCCCATGGTGGGTATATAAATGGTGATACCAGCTTTGTCTCTATATAGGCGAAAAGGTCGCGGGGGGGGGGGGGGGGGGAGTGTGGTTTTAGAGCAAATTGTAAACAAACTCGGTCGCTGTCCCTGTTGGGATTTATCCCGAAACAATTCCTTGGATCAAACGTTTTGTTTGTGTGCTGATCAAAGCTAAAAATGTATATATTTAAATATAAAGATCTTTTCAACAAATTAGGTATAATTACTTACAATTTAGTTTCTTAATCGGCAAAATCTCTTCCTCGTGCGGATGGGCACCCTATTAATGCACTTGTATCAAGTTGAATTTTTTTCAGCTATGTTCGTATAGTCCAACAGCCTCGATTCCCTCGTATAGGTCAGGTCATGAACTCACTAGATTAGCAATAATTACAATAATATTTAAGATTTAAACAAAGCACTTTTCTCAATTAAGGTAGAATTAATGAAATTTGCTTTATAAATTCGGCCACCACGTTGTAACGATTGTGAAATGATTGTTCCTTTTGTTTTGTTTTGCTTTCTATCTTCTGTCTTCTTGTCAGTGCACCGTCTGTCGTGTTGTTGTAAAGAACGAACTACTCCAGTTGATCACTCTGCGGCAGGGACTGCGTTGCGTGCCCTGCGGTTTAAGCCGCAATATGCCCCGGCCCGTGAACCTGGTCCGGAAGTCACGTCCGGACCAGTGTCACTTTCATTTATTTCAAGCACCGCAAGTTTCGCTGTCGCTCGCTTTAGCATGCCGCTGTTGGTACGAATCCAGGCCTGGCGTACTCTGCCATCTCCGGCAACTATCGGCTCCTCAACAATCCCACGTACCCAACACTTCCGCTTGTCGCCATCAACAACGTAGACCAAGTCACCTTTCTTCAAATTCTTTGCTTCACCAAACCACTTGGTACGCTGATTGATGGAAGGAACGTATTCTTTAATCCACCTCTTCCACATCTCGTCAGCTATCTCCTGCGATCGCTGATAGGAGTCCCGCAGGGCTACAGCTGAATTGACGGGAGCTACGTTGTACCTTGGTTCGTTCGGAGCGACTCCACGGAGGAAGTGGTTGGGGCTCAACGCTTCGAAATTATCTGATTCATGCGCCACGTACGTAAGTGGACGGCTATTGATGATGTCCTCCGCTTCGGCTATCGCAGTCACCAAGATTTCATCTGTCAGTCGCTTCCCATCGTTTATCGCCTCCAACACTTGCTTCGTGGAACGGACTAATCTCTCCCAGACTCCGCCCATGTGCGACGAAGCCGGAGGATTGAAGTTCCACTTAATTCGAGCTGATGTTACCTCCGCTGCGCAATCTACGTTGATGCTGCGTACATTTTCCATTAACTCCTTACTTGCTCCTTTAAAATTTGTGCCATTGTCCGAGAACACTTCTAATGGCGGACCTCGGTAGGAGGTGAAGCGTTTGATTGCCATCAAACACGATTGTGTGGTCAGGGAGTGTGCTACTTCGAGGTGAACCGCTCTGACTACTAGGCACGTGAACAAAACGATCCATCTCTTTTCACTGCGGCGGCCTGTTGAAACTGTTATTGGGCCGAAGTAATCGACCCCCACGAAGCAGAACGGCCGCACATACGGAGTTACTCTCTGTACTGGTAGCGCGGCCATCCGAGGACATCGTGGGCGGCTCTTGGCAACCCTGCACTGTATGCAAGCTTTCCCCACCATAGCGACCACACTACCCACCTGTGGGATGACGAATCGTTGTCTCAGCTCGTTCTTCACCGTCTCCCTATATCCGTGGCCGAATTGCTCGTGATAATGCTGAACGATTTTCCAGGTAACAGCATGGTCCTTGGGCAGTATTATCGGGAACCGCAAGTCAAACGGTAGGAATTCAGCTGATCCCGTTCGACCTTCCATACGCAGGAGACCGTTCTCATCGATTAGCGGCGTCAACTTATAGATGAAGCTGGATTTCTCGATTTTCAACCACGTCCCGGCCGGAAGCTGCAAGTTCTTCATCAAGATCCTCAGTTCACTACTGAACGCATCTGCTTGTGCCATCCGCATCAACGAAATTTCCGCTTGCTCATACTCCTTCTGATTCAGTGGCGTCCGCAACATCGGATAATCGATCGGGAGAATGATTTGCGCTTGCATTTCCGTTGGTTTCAGCGTTTCGAGCGGCGATCCCTTCAGCTTTCTTCGACAGTTCGACAGAAACCTAAATACGCAAGCCATCGTCCTTACCAGCACCGTCCACTTCGAAATTCTGTTGACGTCGATTACGGGAGTAGGAAGGTTAACATCGTGAACAAGCAGGTGCGCTCTCAACTCTTCTTCTGTATCTGGACCTGGCAACTTCTGCTTCGGCCAGTCTGCTTCCGGAAGATATAGAAACTCTGGCCCGGTGAACCAACTGCTGGTTGAACTTATTTCAGGGTCTTTCGTCCACTTAGTCAGCTGGTCCGCGACGTTCATCCTCGTTGGAACCCAGTGCCACTCCGACAGGTTCGTACGAGTTAGTATTTCACCAATACGAAGACCTACGAACTCTTTGTACTTACGCTGATCTGACCTGATCCACGATAGCACAGTGGAAGAGTCCGTCCAGAAAAATTGTTGCTTGATTTCCAACGAATGGCCATCTCGCACCGCAGAAGCCAGCCTGGTCCCCAGCACTGCCACCTGCAACTCAAGCCTTGGAACTGATAGCGGCTTCAACGGAGCCACCTTCACCCGACTAGTCACCAGTACACATCTGATCGTTCCGCCCACCAAAGCTCGAAAATAGGCCGCACACCCGTAGGCACCTTTGCTAGCATCGGACACTACGTGCAGCTGTAGATCCTCGATCTGATCCATTCTAGCGTCTCCAAAGTAGCTCCGGGGAATCCTGATTGCCTCGATCATTGGCAAAACTTTCGTCAAGCGAATCCACTTTTGGAATGATTCATCGTCAATTTCTTCATCCCAGTCGCAGCCAGTCCTCCACAAATCTTGTACCAACATGCGACCGAAAACGGTGAATGGAGAGAGCAAACCTTGAGGATCAAACATAGCCATGACACAACTCAACACAATCCTTTTGGTTGGTCGTTCAACCCCTTGTAGAACCAGTTGGTACTCCTCTCGTCCATCGGTAGAAAACAGGAAAACGTCCTCTTCTGGGTCCCATATGATTCCCAGAACTCGCTCGGTATGCGTGGTTTTGTCCCGGCTGAAATGGACAGCAGGATTCGACTTCTGTTCGGCCATCGCTTCCAGAAACTGCTTGGAGTTGGAAACCCAATTCCTGATATGGAAACCTCCTCGGGAATGAATGAATTTCACCTGGTTCGCCAACTCTACCGCTTCGTCAACGAAATCGACGCTATCGTAATAATCGTCCACGTAATGTTTATCGATCACTGCAGACGAAGCTCGTGGAAAATCGTTCGCAAACTCGGCAGCATTCAAGTTTTTTATGAACTGCGCCGAACATAGGGAGCAGGTGGCCCCAAACGTAGCTACGTCCATGACGTACACTGTTGGTACATCAGTCGGATTCGATCGGAACAGGAACCTCAGAGCTTGCTTATCTGCCGCCCTCATCAGAATCTGGTGGTACATTTCTTGTATATCACCACCGAATGCAATTCTGCGTTCACGAAACTTATTAATCACCGTCGGCAGAGACTGCAGCATGTCTGGTCCTTTGAGCAGCTCAGTGTTAAGCGAAACTCCGCCTACCGTGGCTGCGGCGTCCCAAACCAAACGTACTTTACCCGGCTTTCGAGGGTTGAGCACCACGTTCAAGGGAAGGTACCACACCTCATTTTTCTGCCATCCAGCTAGCTCTTCCTCTGTAGCTTTGTGCGCGTAGCCCTTCGTCACGTACTCCGCTATCTGTTGGTGGACATTTTGCTTCAGATCTGGACTTTTTTCCAGTTTCCTCTCCAGTGCCTGTAACCGCCGGGCCGCCATCGGGTAACTGTCCGGGAACCTTCTTTCGTCTTTACGCCACAGCAAGCCCGTCTCGAATCTGTCGCCGATCCGCACTGTCGTTGCTTGGAGAATCTCACGGGCGCGTATGTTTTCAGCTGACTCTGGAACTGAGAAGCAAGAAGTACCGGTGTCCTCCAACAAGTACTGTGTCCACAACATCTCATAAAGATCCTCGTTCCGAATTGGTTCGACGGAATGAACGTTCATGTAACTTTCTGCAGTAGCAGCCGCAGCAGGATTTCCTGGTCCGTAGATGGTCCACCCAAGTTTTGACCGTACAGCGATCGGCTGGCCAGGCTCACCCACTCGAGTTTCTAGTGGAGCGAATACGTGTAGGTTGTCCAAACCGATTATGATACGAGGCTCCTCCGCAGCGTAACTTACTACTGGCAAATCCGTCAGGTGAGAGTAGCGATCCGCGATCTCCTCGAATTGCATGGATTGACACGGCAGCTTCAACTCAGCCACCGTACGTGCGTTCTTCAACGATAGTATCTCAGAGATCCTCTAGCCGACAGCTTGAGATTTACCTTTTTCGATTGATTCTCGTAGCGCTTCACGTTGCCCGTCCACGAAACCACCAGTGGTTCGCAAACCCCCTCCACATTCAGCTCGTTAATAACAAATTCCTCCACCAGCGTAGTGGATGACCCTTCGTCCAAAAAGGCCAGAACATCCATTGCATATTTCCGGAAATATAGAGTAATCGGTACCATACGGAAGATGATGGCACGACTCAACCGTCCGTGGGCGTGGCACTCGACATTTAGCAGCTGTACGACTCCTTCCGCTCGATGAAGCAGAGGATGGTGTCCACCTTGACATCCGGCAACGTTGCAGCGGATTTTAAAGGTGCATCGACTTTTGCCGTGGTTATTAAGGCATAGCGCGCAGAGTTTGTTTTGCTCAACCGTCTTCAGTCGATCCGTGATGCTGAGCTTCTTGAAATCATCACAGAATCGTAACTTGTGATCTGTCCGCTTGCAAACCCAACACGGCTTGATTCCTTTTGCCTCCTTCGGAATTTCAGGCTTGTTCGGAGCAGAACCGTGGACATGAATGAATTCTTTGATTTTGTTGGGATTTATCCCGAAACAATTCCTTGGATCAAACGTTTTGTTTGTGTGCTGATCAAAGCTAAAAATGTATATATTTAAATATAAAGATCTTTTCAACAAATTAGGTATAATTACTTACAATTTAGTTTCTTAATCGGCAAAATCTCTTCCTCGTGCGGATGGGCACCCTATTAATGCACTTGTATCAAGTTGAATTTTTTTCAGCTATGTTCGTATAGTCCAACAGCCTCGATTCCCTCGTATAGGTCAGGTCATGAACTCACTAGATTAGCAATAATTACAATAATATTTAAGATTTAAACAAAGCACTTTTCTCAATTAAGGTAGAATTAATGAAATTTGCTTTATAAATTCGGCCACCACGTTGTAACGATTGTGAAATGATTGTTCCTTTTGTTTTGTTTTGCTTTCTATCTTCTGTCTTCTTGTCAGTGCACCGTCTGTCGTGTTGTTGTAAAGAACGAACTACTCCAGTTGATCACTCTGCGGCAGGGACTGCGTTGCGTGCCCTGCGGTTTAAGCCGCAACAGTCCCATACAAAAATCCAACATGCCTGGAATCATGAATTTGAAACATTAGAACACCTATATGTAGGCACCTTGGTCCAGCCTTTCAGCTGACATTTTTTTCAGAATTTTTTTTCATTGGGTTTCCGGTGAAATATTAAATTCACAACATCAAAACCAGCGCTGCCATTTATACAGATTTATCTGTATTATACAGATTTTTTAATCTTAATACAGACCCGATACAGAATACAGATTTATCACAGATTTTTAAATTACAATACAGATTTATACAGATTTTTATAAAATGCTTGAGAAAAAAAAATCTATATCAAAATAAGTTATCAAGCAGTTCTCACTAATATCAATGTATGTTATAATTTTGATATTCTTCGCATATCTTTTAGCTCTCATTTTTGTTCTGTTAGCCATCAACTCCATCAAAATGAAATCAATTTGAGTTATCAGGAATAATGAAAACAACATAATTTTTGTTTTCATTTTGTTCTCACCCTCTGCTCGGGAACCTATCAAATTTCCATCGACAATTAATCATGTTATGGTGTTTTTGACAGCATTCACAACCAGAGGACCAACCGCTTTCGGATGCATATGGAGCTGGTAGTAAACGATTTGAGATTGTATGGGGATTTACAGTATTAATTGAATATTTCCAATATAAGCATGTATGTTAAATACAAGAAAAATGCCCGAGCACATTAAAATGGTACAAATACAAGTACTCGTAAACATTTTACTTGCATTGAAAATGTATTTCGTAAGAAATTGCGGATTTTCTGATATTCTCCATACTGCAAAAATGATTTTACCAGCACTGGCGGGGCGACATCTCTCTACTTTTCGGTGTAACTACCACACAAATGAAGTAATTAATTGTATTCATCTATATTAAAATATCAAATAGTAATGAACTCGTGCACTTTTTTGCATTTAAAACTGCTTATCAGGAAGATAATGAATAGAAACTAAAATCTCCATACATTTTCAAACGGCTTCATATCACTCTTATAAATAAGTACGGACGATATCACAAATGGCGCAATTATATCCCGTATGGTTAGTACGGTAGCCCGAATAGGTGGTTAAGCACTTTTTATGGTTATTTTGTATGCACTGTATTTGTAAAACAACAAAACATGATTAATTAAGAAAAAAAATCGTCAATACAGAAAATACAGATTTTTTAATAGAGTGGATACAGATTTTTTATAAAACCACCTGGCAGCTCTGATCAAAACACAGATGTCAAGCGTCAAGTTCAGAAAACGGACACTCGGTCGTGTGTTTTTCTGAAAATGTGTTGTTGACCGTGCTTGTTCCGGATAGTCCAGGTCACAAATTTCAATAATCGTTTCCAATTGAGTTTGGACATCAGTGGACGAAGTGACTAAAGTATGCACTAATTAAAAATATATTTGAACAATTGAATGTAAAGTGGTTAACACGATATCGACAACTAAGCAGTGTTTGGGGACGTGCTGTACAATCCATTACGGCTGCTGCTGAATAACGCTGCAATAATGGTAATTTGGTTATTATAAGATGAATATGGTTTATATTCTTGTCTCATTCCTGTATTGTTGGGTTTTTTTTTTATTAATCCTAAATATACATTGGAATAATCGATCCGGATAAAAGAACCATGCATAACCTCAATCATTATTTACAATTCTAGGCTTTGTACATACTCTACGAACACGCTGCCGGCTATGCTGTGTTTAGCGTTAAGGAGTTTGAGGAGATTTCGATGCTACTTCCGCAGGTGGAACAATCAGTAACAGATTTGTCCCGTTTTAACTCGATCGTAAAATTGTTGGGATTCTCTCCCTTCAAGACCGCCGTTGCTGCATTAGAAAATGTCAATGCCATCTCGGAAGGAATTGTACCCGACGATTTATCTGTTTTCTTGGACAGTGTCCTACCTAAAGCGTCCAAGTCTAACAAATTCACCCTTGGTGTTGCGGATCCGAAATTAGGTGCGGCTCTATCGGAAGCATTGAAGATCCAGTGTTCGCATATCGGAGCAGTTCCAGAGATCCTACGTGGAGTTCGCCACCATTTTCCGAAGCTGGTGAAAGGATTCTCCGATAAGAGCGCTGGGGTCGCTCAGCTGGGTCTTGGCCATAGCTACTCCCGTTGCAAGGTCAAGTTCAACGTTCATCGGTCGGATAACATGATCATTCAATCTATTGCCCTGCTAGATCAGTTGGACAAAGATATTAATACATTTTCGATGAGGATCAGAGAGTGGTATTCGTACCACTTCCCAGAGCTGGTGAAAATTGTACCTGATAATTATCTGTTTGCCAAATTGGCCCATTTCGTCAAAGATCGTAAGTCCCTTTCGCAGGATAGTTTGGAAGGCCTGGAGGAAATCGTGATGGATTCGGAGAAAGCTCAAGCTATTATTGACGCCTCCAAAATGTCAATGGGAATGGACATTTCTGTAATTGATTTACTCAACATTGAAATGTTTGCCAAGCGAGTAGTGAATCTGTCGGAATATCGACACCAGTTGTCAGAATATCTTCACTCAAAAATGACTAACGTGGCACCAAACTTGCAGTCCTTGATTGGCGATCAAGTTGGAGCAAGACTTATCTCTAAGGCAGGCAGTCTTACTAATTTGGCCAAGTATCCCGCATCGACGGTGCAAATTTTGGGCGCAGAAAAAGCCTTGTTCAGAGCTTTGAAAACCAAGAGTAACACCCCAAAGTATGGTTTGCTGTTCAACTCGTCTTTCATCGGAAGGGCGAACGCTAAGAACAAGGGTCGTATTTCGCGGTTCCTAGCCAACAAGTGCTCGATCGCATCCCGTATCGATTGTTTCACCGAGAATCCCAATAGTGTTTTTGGCGAAGCATTGAAGCAGCAAGTGGAAGATCGGCTTAAATTTTATGAATCTGGTGAAGCCCCTCGCAAGAACGCAGAAGTCATGAAGGAAGCGATCGAAGCCGCGGCTCAGGTCAGTGTCACTCAGCAAAGTGCCAAGAAAAAGAAGAAGAAGAAGGATAAGAAACGCAAACGTGAGGACGACGACGATGCTAATGGCGATGAAACACTCAACGAAACTGACAATGCTAATGGCACACTCGTAGAGGCAGAACCAGAAGTTGAAGCCGAACCTAAGAAGAAGAAAAAGAAGAAGAACAAAAATAAACCCACAGAGGAGTAAGATGTTTTGTGAAGGTATCGTATAAGTACAATATTTCTTTTTCATTTGGTATATTTTCTTTCTGTATGTGTTACTTCAATGCAGATACAAGCATTACATTTAAATTTAGCTATTAATTTCCTGCTTCCTCGAGAATAGAGTAACTACCTATATAAAACAATAATTGTAGTTATTATAATCCATCCGAAAATCCTCTATTATTTTTTAGAAAATCAAAAATTAATTAACAGAACTATCACATCAGGTGAATATTAGCTTCCTCCTTTCGTGATGGGTTTGAACGGTTTGGTTTCGTGCTTCCGGTAGTCTTCGTCGTCGTCGTGACATTCTTTAAAACATCCACGACAGAACAAGTCTCCTCCACAGCTTACACAACGAATGATGGCATCCTCATTGCAAATAGTACACCATGGTAGTTCTTCTGTTTCTGATGGATCCAAAGGAGTAGGAATGTCGAGATTGTTCAATTCGTCTTCATCTTCCTGTGAGTTTTTCTTGCAATCGATAGCTGCTTCTTCCAAGAATCGGACAGCCAATTTCTTTGCAGCTTCATCTTCGGTTTCTTCGCTTTCTTCATCCGAATCCGGCAGCTGCTGGTTTCCTTCCATTTTTGCTTTATCATCGGTTGAACCACCTTTCAATGCAGCTAAACGTTTTTCGATATCATCGATGGCTGCCAACCGATAATTACCCATTGAATCGTGAATGTCCTGTTCCTGCGCAAACTGTGTCATCAAATCTTTTATCTGTTCCTCTTCGCTACGGTTATCTTTTTGCAGTAGAATTTTTTTATTTGCCTCCGCGTAGTCCTTGTACTCCACCCCTTTTAGGGCAGCCAGCCTTTTCTCTATATCGATAAGACTAGTTCCAGCTGAAGTCGATGCTTCTGGTACCTGTTGATTACTGTCATCTTTCTGCTTCAACGCAGCAAGTCGTTCTCGAATCATAGCATCGTCATCTGTTGTATGTTCTGGCACCGTTACTGGTCTAATAATGTCCACTATTATTTGGGAAGATTCTACAGGCACATCCAGGATAGAAGTGTCGCTGCAAATGATTAGAATGAAAATAATCCACCTTTTGAAGTAGTTAATTTTTTAACTGCAAACCTCGATAACTTTTTTGAGCCTTTATTCGTGTTTGGGTCGTTCCTTGATTTAGAAAACTCATAGCAGCGCAGACAAACATCTTTATTTTTGCCATCGATTTTCATACGAAATTTCAAGCACTTGGAACAGAAAGAATATTTACACGAAGGACATCCATTCTGGAAGACACGATAACGTTTAAAATAAATAAGAATATACACGTACCTACATTTTTACATTTACCTCTCTCAAAAACAAACCAAACGCCTTAGTACAACCGTTACAAGCCATGAATATTTCTCGTTTTTTTTTTTTTTACTTTATTGTGTCCTTATGGACGGCTAAAACGTTCTCGTTAGTTAGTTTTTCAAGTTGTGTACTTTTATGAGTAAACATTAATTTTCGCTATATCAGTGCCAACATTTCAAAGGGGCGTAATTTCTTTTGTAAAAAATGGTTTCAGCTATCGATTTCTCGCAAATCAAAGCCCATCCCTTACAATTAACAATGCTAGCTAGTAAAGGAAACATTCCTTTACCTGCTGGTGTTATGATTCTTCATGAGTAAGTTTTTATTCACGAGAAATCGACGGCTAAAGCCATTGTTTACAAATGCAATTACGCCCCTTTGAAATGTTGACACTGAATTATACTGATGACGATCACACGGAAACCGCAAAATACGCAAAAATGACTATAAAGGACTCAATTTTGACTATAAAGTATGCATATTCGGCTAAAACGGGACTACACCTAAAATGTGTGTATTTTTTACACATTTTATGAGTATCTGGTACTCATAAATGCATAAAATTTATTCATTTTTGTACTAGTAATTACTCATAAATGTGTAAAATTTTACTCATTTTGTGGGTAGTCCCGTTTTCATTCAAAAATGAGTTTTTTTGAGATTACCGTGCAGGCGATTCTGATACACGCTATTTCAAAACTACCTAAATTTGGTTAGAATCAACCCAGATCGGTTAAAACTGAACCTACCCAAAAATGGGTAAACTGTGTTGGGAGTTACAAGTTGACAAATGAACAACATCGACATGAATCCGATCGACGTTGTTAATTTGTCAACTTGTCACTCCCAACATAGTTTACCCATTTTTGGGTAGGTTCAGTTTTGAGATTCTGGGTGGATTATACCTAAATTTGGGGAGTTTTGAAATAGCGTGTACTTACACGGTTGAGTCATCATCAGGTGCACGCTCATTAGAGGTTACTCAAAAAGGAGTGAAACTCAACTCAATTTAATTATTGCAGATTTCCTCGCAGATTTCGCACCTGATTAGAATAATATACACTATACACTGAGCATAATTGTGTAGTAATTCATGCAAGAAAACTATGTTTATTTTAAATATTTCATAAAATACTTGAAATTACGACAATTCTTATTGTATTCACTAGAAAGTACCAACCATTAACCGTAGTTGGGATTTTCGGATGATAGTAATCGTTAAAATGTTTGAATCTACCATGCGGTATGGGCGGTATGCGACTGTGGACACGAACCATTTTCTTCGATTGTTTTCAACCGCATTTGTAGTAAAATAGAATGCTTCGCACCGACAGTTTTTTGCTGATAATATGTTGCGGTTGAAAATAACCTTCCCCATGGACATGGAGGTTGACGGTACTGAAGCAAAGGGTTATATTTAATTTCTTTATATTTGCAACGATGATGATTTCCTATAGTGACACATATCACCTTCTTAATGCTTCAGTATGCCTCAAACGATTAATTCTTGGTTGTTAATAGAACTTCCTTGATGAAATCGGCTGCTTCATGCAGACTAAGCAATTCTGATTACAGTATCAGATTTGTTCTGTATACAGAGGAACTGAGAGGGCTTATTAGAAACTTCTCACCAATAAAGTAATGATCTAGTAGTAAATTTTGAACATAATTTTATCAATACATATTCCTTTCTTTGAATATATAAAAGAGAAAATAATTAACTCATTGGGTGTATGATAAAGAAGGGAATATTCCCTTCTTTTAATATGTAAGGAAAATATATAATCAATAGCTTTTCGCAAGGGATTCAGGGTAATGACCATTTGGGATAATAACGAGTGGAATAATGTTATAAATTTGTAATCGGTAGTTCAACGTTCCATGCGCCGATTTTTTAATCTATCACGAGAAATTCTTCAACTCAGGTCGAACAATTCTTCGATAAGGTGTAACAGTTTCTGACTGGTTGGATTGGATTGCATAATAGACGCTTTGACTTATTAAATGATGAACGAAGTGCTCGAAAATTTGAAGGTTGTCATTTTATAAAGAGCTAAAAAATGGTTTGGAATTCATAAATACATAGTTCCATAAAAGTAAACATAGTCACCCCTATTCTTGTTTTCGTTAGAACCGTATTTTCAATACAATTTTTTTTTTGGATGGAAAATACAGTTCGAACGAAAACAAGAATAGTAAACAAGTAAAAAAAAAGAGAAGTGAAAATTACTAATTTCATCATCTTTTCTGGGGAATGGTACATTCTGGGGAATGCTTTTCTAGTGAATGGTATATTCTGGGGATTGTTTTTCTGGGGAATGGTGCATTCTGGGGAATGTTATAGAATCTTGAATAACTATTATTTACGATAATTACATGAATGAAATAAAATACAAACAAAACGTGACTACTAAAATCTGAAAAAGATATTCTCACAAATATATTTCACGCAACCAGGAATCTCAAAACCATTAGACGCTATAATGATACTCTGCACACGTTAGACGCAAGAAGAGGCCAAAAAGCAAGCATCCGACACACAAAACCCGCCAAATCCACTTGCAGTCACAATCAACGATTCTACGAATCGCTAGCGCTCACGAATCATAAAACCGCTGACTGCGACACTCTGAAAGCGAAATTGACAGGCTCTATGCGTCAAACACCCGCCCTCCAATCTCCTCCCGCATCCAACAACACAAATCTCCATTACAACATCTAACGAATTCAAAACTCCGAAAATCACTCATCTATAGCAAGTGAGTGGAAGCAACCCTGCATGGGGGGTGGCTAAATGGACTTAAGTGTAAGAATTGAATGGCCACTCAATGCATATGTGTTTAAGCATTTTCTGTAAGAACAACAATAATAATACATAGTGCATAATAAAGACTTGCATATGTCCCATGGTCCCCATATCAAAATTCTCTGAATGAAATTTGTAGAGATTTTCACACACACACACACACACACACACACACACACACACACACCCTGATAAGACCAAAAGGTTCCGAAGAACCGTGCTCAAATGTTTTGCTCAGCTTTGGTAATCTCTTCGTTCCCAAGTTAATCGATGCACCTCTCGAAACATAGGAGAATCCGAGGGGGCGACTTAGTCGCTATATTAATAGTCTGGCGAATAGAAATCCGATCTATCAAAAAGCGGAACCAATTCAATATAATGTAGACTAACAATTTGGGTTCTTTAAGCGGATTGTGCAACATTTCCCCGAATGTCGTTTCCCCGAATGTCGTTTCCCCGAATGTCACTTCCCCGAACGCCATTTCCCCGAATACCCATTTCCCCGAATGCCGTTTCCCCGAATGTGCCATTTCCCCCGAATGCCATATCCCCGAAAAAAAAGTTAGGAAATTTCCAACACTTATTCATGGCAATTTTCTTACTATATTTTGAGCATAGTGAGCAGATTGCAAACCAGATTAAATTTCAAACCATGCAAATGGAAGTTTTATGAGATTAACCCAACTACCAATTAATTTGCTTCGAGTAGCTAGAAACCCATTGCCAAAGCATAGGATGCTCACTATGACCCTCTTTCCTCTATATTAATGTATTGAACCGTTAAAAGCATTTTCATTTTTATATATAGAATAATAATCCAAAACCAGTATGCTTGTTTTCAGTTCATTTATTATTCATCATTATTTGATTTGTTTCTTGGAACGCCGTTGAGATATTCATATATTTTATTATTTATTTTGTGTTGAATATTTTCCTGTTGATGGTACTGATGCAAACCTTGTATTTCCTTTGGAGATTTCGCCTTCTTTTATTTACGAGCAGTTCTTTCGAGAACTTTGGAAAAACCTGTGAGATCGATGGTTTGACAAAATGGTAAAATATTTTTATTCCTACTTTTTTACATAAGCAGTTCTTTCGGGAAATTTAGCAAAACTTGTTTCGGAAATTATTGCAACCAAATTTCAACAGGTGACAGTAATAAACAGAAGTTATGGCGATTTGTTTTGTACGCAGAAAACCGGAAAATGTTTATTTTATTAAATTTTTATTGGCCCTTTCTAAAAAAAAGGTGGTGGCTTATATTATGGCGCAACACCACTACAAAATATTTTTTTTTTCTCGTTTCGCCTCCACAAACGATAATTTAATAAAAATGTTGAAATCTGCATACATTATTTTGCGGTTTAACTTTTCGTCCATAGAAAGTGGCGCTATGCTGTCAGTAGTTGTGAGTGTAAAACTCACAGCATTCCTCGATTCATTTGTCAAATAATATATCTCACAAGTTTTGCCAAATTCCTCGATTTGAATTTATAAAAGAAACAATCTCGTAAAACTATGTTATCCATTTTTAAATCCATCGACCTCACATATTGTCTAAGTTCTCGGAAGAACTGCTCGTTTATAAAAGAAGGAAAAATTTCCTCAAAATACATTACCAATTTGTCAAACCGTCAATCTCACAAGTTTTGATAAAGTTTTCGAAAAAAACATTTATAAAAGGAGGAAAAAATATGGCCTACGACTGAAAATCTCCTAAATAAATTTAAAAAGAAGGGAAAATCACCTAAAATAATATTAGCAATCTGTCAAATCATCGATATTAGTTTTGCCAAAGTTCTCGAAAGAACTGCTCACGTATAAAAGGAGGGAAAATCTCCTAAAAATATATTTCCAATTTTTACACTTCCACTTCTGGTACTGCCGCTGCCTCACTAAAACTCTCGCCCCATTGGCTTACTTTGAACAGAGATTTTCCCTTCTTTTAATTATGAGCTGTTCTTTTATGGTTAATTGTTGCAATATTCAAAGATGTCTTCTTAATGCTCTCGTAACCAACCTAAGAAATGTAGTACGGTCAAGGAATTTTATAATTTTTTGGATTTCATTCGAGGAAATTACATTCGGGAAATGGCATTCGGGGAAATGGCATTCGGGGAAACGGGGTATATGTTTGTATGGGATTCGGGGAAATGGCGTTCGGGGAAATGACGTTCGGGGAAGTGACATTCGGGGAAATGTAGCACAATCCTTTAAGCGTATTGAGGTAAATGCGTAGTCGTAATCTGCATTAAAAATGGAACCCAAACCCAAAATTTCATCAATTTTGGTACACTGGAACTATTTTAAATAAGCGCGATTACATTTGCAAAAATCACCTTATTAGCGCCCCTCTGTGTCACTTTGTATGGGAGCGAGCTGTCAGTTTGTTAGTTTAGTGTCAAACAGTGAAGTTATTATTTTGCTTTAAATCTTGATTTAAAAATCGAGATGAAAGTGTGTGGGTTCGAAAAAAATATCGCTGTGCTCAGAAAACGAAGCTCTTTCAGGTGATGTATAAAAAACGATACATTTTTTAAAATTAAAGAGGCCAATTGAAAAGGTACTATCAACTTTTGTAAACAAAACGTTTGTTATTCTTTCCTCGCCAATCGAACGCAAATTACCAGCATCATCGGATAGGGGAAACTTTCCCCAACCCAAAGATGGTGTTAGTTTGCGGAGGCGGCCTAGAGTAACGAGAAAGGGGTTTCCGAAGTTTTGTTCGCAATAGCTGATGTGCTCTTTTCTGTTGTTGGTCGTGATTTGCTCGATTGGTTCCGCTGTTTGACAGCTCAATTGGTTCCCGAGAATCTATCCGCCAGACTATGAATATAGCGACCATAGGGCGACTCTATCTACGATGCAGGAAAAATCGTGTTTTGCTGTGGTTAGTTGCGAGCACGCTGAGTGGATAGAAAGAAGATTGATGGTGATTCTGAAGATTTCCTCGAGGAATTCCTGCAAAAAGAAAATATGCGATGCAAGTAGATGCGAGATATGAAAGAAGATTTTTTGAAGATTCATTCGCTAGTGTGAGATTTTTTGAGCAGGGAAAATCCACGAACCCCTCATTTTGTCTGTCAAACTTTCATAGCGAATCAAAACAAATATACTATTCTGTATTTCGTTTCGAACGAAATTCTCATACAAAAAATAATTTTTTTGTATGAGAATTTCGTTCGAAACGAAATACAGAATAGGGGTGATAGTGTAGTACTATAAGTAGAATTTCGACTAAAATGGGGTACACTTATAGATGTACTTGAGACCAATAGGCTTGTCACGTAGTGAGCCAATTTAAAATCGTTAGTTTCCACCGGTTTGTAATATTACACAATCGAATGACCTCTGTGGAGCTGTTTGGCTTTGGATGTAATATTCAACAACTTTTTTTCTGTGTGTACCTTGATTTTATTAATTGTACGTATCCTCCATATTTTTAGCATTGGACTATCAAGGCTGGCAACATAACAAAACTAAACTATCATCAGTGTTCGGATGACATTGCTTATTTTCGTGAGATTTGCAAACAGACGAGTTGCAGTTTTCAATTTTAGGTAAAGTTTTTCAAATAACATTCATTGCAAACATTTTGGATAGTCTCCAACCTAATATTGCAGATCGTCAGGCTCAACATCGAACTTCAAATATGCCGATCGAAAACCTTGAAGAACAGGGTCTGGAAAAGAACCCAAAATTGGAGCTTGCTCAAATCAAGTTTTTGCTGAGTCTGCCGGAACATAACCAGGACAAGGCACTAGCGGAAAAACTGATGGCTGCCATCAAGGCGGACAACATGGCTTCGTGGTACGAGGAAGTATGCAAAGATTTGGCATGGACGGTCGATCAAAAGCTACTGGCCGATATGAAGGAAGTTAACCGGAAGAAGCTGGAAGAGTTGGATGCTGTTATTGATGATGCTGAGAAAAACCTTGGCGAGATGGAAGTGAGGGAGGCTAATCTGAAAAAGTCCGAGTTCTTGTGCCGAATTGGCGATAAGGAAGGGTCTATTTCGGCATTCAGGAAGACCTATGACAAGACTGTTTCACTCGGACATAGGTTGGACATAGTTTTCCATAACATTCGTATTGGCCTGTTCTATTTGGATCACGATTTGATCACAAGGAATATCGAGAAGGCGAAAACCTTGATCGAGGAAGGTGGTGATTGGGATCGCCGTAATCGGCTCAAGGTTTACCAAGGTGCATACTGTGTAGCGATCCGGGATTTCAAGGCTGCTGCAAATTTCTTCTTGGACACTGTGAGCACTTTTACCAGCTATGAGCTGATGGATTATGCTTCGTTTGTGCGCTACACTGTTTATGTGAGCATGATAAGCCTTCCGCGCAATGAGCTAAGAGATAAGGTAGTTAAGGGATCCGAAATACAGGAAGTGCTGCATCAACTGTCGGACGTGAAGGATTATCTATTCTCGTTGTACAATTGTCATTATTCTGACTTTTTCAAAAATCTCGCGCTTGTTGAAACATTTCTTCGGAAGGATGTGCTTTTCCATCCTCATTATCGGTTCTACGTCCGAGAGATGAGAATTCTTGCCTACACTCAGCTGTTGGAGTCGTACCGCTCGCTTACCTTGCAGTACATGGCGGACGCATTCGGAGTTAACGTGGATTACATCGATGCTGAGTTGTCGAGATTCATCGCTGCTGGCCGTTTGCACTGTAAAGTAGACCGTGTGGGAGGAATCGTTGAAACTAATCGTCCAGATAGCAAGAACTGGCAGTATCAGGCCACCATCAAGCAAGGCGATATTTTGCTGAACCGTGTGCAGAAGCTCAGTAGAGTCATCAATATTTAGAAAGGCTGAAATTGCACACTTATCTTTATACAATTAATCGCTACTCATTGTATTCTTAATTTGAAATAAACTTTCTTGTATGTACTTGTGATTAAAGTTTAATCATGAAGAATATGCATTAAAAAAATTTGGAATATAGAATTATTCAAACCGAACAATGAATAAATTATTAGTTCGTAAGTAAAATGACAGATTCTCTTTGTCGATTTTCTCTTTGCATCCCCACAGTTATGTATATACATTTAAAGCTATTTTCAACACACAGTTCGATAAAAGAAGCAATACGGCAATTAGGTAAGAAACGATTATGTTGCTAAGTTATTCAATGAAGAGAATCGATCAATTGTTACTTCGGACCTAATTCATTGTCCGGCTTGTATTAATTGGACTGTGAACAACACAATAAGGATATCGTTGCATGATTAACATTAAAGTGATTTAAAATTAGTTTAGCATTTATTTAGAATTATTTCTTACACTTGTCTTTAATAGTATATTTATCGTACACTTTTGTTGGATCGTACGGTTCCCATCGGGATGCGGGAAAAATGTGCTTATTTCTCTCGTACCACGATCGCAGTAATACTTTACCGGCGTGAGATTCTTCCTTCTCTACGGTGGCATCGCTTATCATACGAATGTCGTCTTTACTGTAAAAGTGAAAACGGTTGTATGTTACTCAAATCAGTGCAATTTAATTCTAATACATACACATCAAAATTGAACAAAGGACCACTTTTACCACGGGCTTTCGTGACGATGAAATCGTAGAAGGTGTAATGATGAGGAAGGATCAAATCTTCCTTTACGTACATCAGCTGATCTGCCATCACCGTCTTCAGTTCACTGAACTCTTTACGTAGCATTTCAAGACATTTCTGTAAAAATTGGTAAATTGAATTACCCTTCTTCATTGTGACACATTTTCTATGTCCGGATCCATCCCAATAGCTGAAGGTGATGGAAATCTCCTGATCTTTAAGTGTTGCTTGTTTCATGGCCCATTCCTGGCGGAGTTCCTCCCTTAATTTGTTATCCGTTTCCTCACGTTCTCTATCCGGCAAAAATGAAGTATCTACATCAGGGTTTTTCTTAATTTTCTTAATTCGTGGTTCACCGTCTTCCTCGGTTTGCCACTTTCGAGGCTTGATATCCAGAGGTTTCTCTTGTTCTTCATCCGCTTCTTCTTCTTCGTCCTCCTCAGGGTTGAAGGAGAGTGCTTGAATTTGTTTCCTTTGCCGGTCCTTTTCTGCTTGCTTGGCTTCCAAAGCTTTGAGTTTCTCACGGTCTTTTTCCTCCTTTTTCTGGGCAAGTTTTTTCTCACGTTCTCGGACTATGTCCTCCTGTTTCTGTTTCATCTCATCAAGCGTGACCAGACCAATGGTCGAGGTCTTGAGCTGCTGCTCCACGGCATCATAATGAGTAGCAAACTTGTTTTCAATGTTACTGACTTTTAAATCTTCCTCTATTTTCTTTTTACGGAATTCAATTTCCTGCTGAGCTATCTCGCGTTTCTTCATCAGCTGCATAGCACGGCCACCCTCACTGGCAGCTCCCTTATAGTAAGCCATCGTGAATATTCCGTAGCTGGATCCAGAAACAATCAATTAAAATATTATCCTCCACCTGAAAACAGTGATGTGTCGTTGAATAATCGTTTTGTGTTAACCTAATTTGTAATTTAACCAACCTAAAACAGGTGAAGCCTTGTACTGCACTTGCACAGTAAACGAAATATATAGTATGTTAAAAATTCTTAGATATTCCGTGATTATTCAAAGAATTTCGAGCACGCACAGGTAAATCACGACGTAAATATTACGAAAATTGTATGTCAAAACTTCTACAAAACATTAGGGTATAGTACAACTTCGTCATATAGAACCCATTTCTGTCATACACCTTAAATTCAATTAACACAATCAGCTACCTACATAAAACATGTATGCTTCAAATTGTTTGCTCGCGAGTTAAATTTCGATTGGTTTAAATGAAATAATATTAAAATACAATTAAATACATGAATGAATCTAATTAATATAGTAAAAAAAACCCATAATTTTAAAAACTCGCACAAAAATATGTGTTATGGTTTTTTTTTATTATATTAATTAGTTTCATTAATATATTTAATTGTATTTTAATATTATATAATATATAGCCGTATAAAAATCAAATGACTTTCATTGTCATTGTAACCATGATATTTACTGTAAAAATATTGGATATTTTTGTTGATTACCATAAAATCATGGTATATGAGAAATTTACAGTAAAAAAGGGGATCTTAACAATAAAAAAAACTGATTATTAACTTTTAATAATAATATAATGGTATTTTTATGAATTTGGCAGATTAGTGTCGAGGCACCCTACCACAGCCCACTGGTTTTGTGAGCATCGAACGAAGATAAAAATTCAAGGAAAAATTAGGTCTGTTCCCGCACTTGCTTTTTTTTTTGTACACGCAATTTCAAAACTACCCAAATTTTAGTAGGATCCACTTAGATCGGTCAAAACATCGGTCAAAACCACGCCAGTGACAAGGCCTACCCTAATAAAAATTGTATGGTTAACGACGTGTTCTGGGTATCATCCAAACCATTTGTGGAATAGTTCAATGATTTGGGTTATCGTTCGTTTATGGTTATTTTTTATTAGGGTATTGGCGTTGACGTCACCGTCGAAAAATTTGCTCTTCCAGCAAAGACAGTTTTTTATGGTAATTTTCGGTGAAGTGAAAGGATAGTACTAGAAATACTCAGAGGGAGAGATAGGCGGAGAAAACAAAATACAATTCGGCAGCGGATTTGTTCCTAAATTATCTTGCAACCCTTACTAGAAGCTAGCATTTCAAATGACTTTTATTTTTGATTCGATTTACGTGCAAAATAATAATTGATTGCATTGCAATATTTTGCACATTTCTTGTTGCCATTTATTAACCAACGAAGATCAATAAATTAATCAATAGAGTTAGAATATTGTTTTTGGTTCCAAAAACTAGTTGAATTTGAGAAGCACACAAAACATAAAGGTGATTGAATTTCTGTTCGATTGCAATACTCTCAAATTTATTCTAGTAAGAATAAAAAATCCTCGGAAAATTTCTAATTGGAATGTTCGATTGGCTCAGATTTTGACAGTTCATTTGGCTCAAAACATTCTCTCCGCCCATCTCTCCCTCTGAGTATTTCTAGATAGTACAAAGTCCGCCATGTTTCACGCGCAGTCTGACGTTTGCTTATGGATTTTCTCATAGTGGAGTAAAGAGCTACAGAGTCACCGTCAACGCCAATACCAACAGCAGCGTTTGACAGTAGGCAGCATGTCTCGGGCTCAAATCGTTTATTTTGCTGTGCTGGGCCCGCTGTCACGGTATAACATGTTGCCTACGCGTCTGCCACTGGGCTGGTCAAAACCTGAGGGAGAGTCGCAAAGAGAGAAAAATGGAACGTCACGAACTGTCATTTGGAGTCAAGCAATTTTATAATGGTTTTCTTACAGTTGAACAAGAATGCACAAGGCGGTATTGAAATCTTGCGTAAAGTAATTTGTGACAAACTGTCGTTTCCAGCTATTTTATTCAATGGGACACCGTTTCTTTTTAATTCATTCAAAATACACACAAATCAACATTGAAAGATACCATTAGCCAAGGTTTTGTCAAAACGTCTAGTGGCATAGTAAAATACCAAACAGAAAAGTACAGTTTCTCACTGCACACTGAGAGCAACCGTAACGGTAGGCTGCTAAATTCATTATAGCTGCCCTCATCATAGCGCACCTACCGTATCGGGGGTTGCCATACGAGTAACTAAAATAGCAGTCGGCTTCTCGGTGAGAAGCGCGCTACCAAATTTAGCAGCGCGGGAGAAAGGTTGCTATTCGTAGAAATGTCAAAATGCTCACTACCGGTACGGACAAAGGCGAATAAATTGATAACCGCGATAGCAGCGACCGGTGTTGAGAAGAGTGTCTAAATTAAAATGAGAGCGCTGTGCGCTGTTAAATTAGTCGCGCAAATGACAACGGCCGTTACGGTTGCTCTGAACAATCTCAAACAATCACTACACGCTCAAAGCAAAACACGCTATTTTGCTACGCCTATTTTGATTTGATTTCAACGGCACAAATTTTCATGACAAGAAGAACAAGTCAAGAGCAAATTTTCATTACGTCGAATGTAACAAAGGTAAACAAAGTCGAGCTATCAGTGTCAATCGATTCTCCTGCTATTACACTATATACTGTCCGAATATAGGATCAAATCCCATTTTTAAATTTATTTGCCAGTCAAATTGCTTTTTGACGTAATCACCTTCCGATCAAAATAGTTTTCGATGTTACTTAAGTCACCCAATTTCTATGGAGATGCCGTTTGACTTAAGTAACAGCGCTGAGAAACCCGTGAAAAGGGTACGTTCGTCGTTTTGCTTTCTCATTATTAAAGTGAATAAATCGAACTGTTTGTTGCTAAGATGATTTCAATAGTCCTAAAATGATGAATGGGCTGCACGTAAGGAGACGTAATTGATAATTCTCCCGAATATCCTGCTAAATACACTTTGACTTAAGTAACAATAGGGGCCACCAAACGACGTATAATAACTGTTCGGATCAAAGTCAAAGAACGGAAGGTAGAAAATCACAAACTTTCTACAAAATGCCCAAAGCACAGAATACTAAAAAAACTCACTTTTAAGCACTTTCTAATCGATACTGTATTGTTTGTGATTTTCTACCTTCCGTTCTTTGACAGATTATCTTCTATTCATCTATCTATCCTCCTCTCTTCAATCCGTCACTTCATCTGTCATACTACTTACTACCTCATCGTCCAAATTCACTGCAGCGATGGAGGAGGGCAACGGCCAGTGTTGCCAGAACATTCCCCGGCCCGTAACTCTGTCCGGGAAGCCACATCCGGCTCAGGGTTACCCTCTGCTATCTCCATCACGGCCAGTTTCGCTGTCGCTCGTTTGTACCTTCCGGCATTGGTACGCACCCATGCTTGACGGACCCTGCCGTCGCCGGATACGATGATCTCTTCCACCATTCCGCGGATCCAGCACTTCCGGTTGGCACCCTCCACGACGTAAACTAAATCTCCTGCTCGCAACGGTCTTGCCTCACCGAACCACTTCGTTCTTTGGTTCAACGACGGTACATACTCCTTAATCCACCGCTCCCACATCACGCTGGCCAAATGCTGACGAAAGTGAGGAACGCTCCAGCGCCGAGAGCTGATCGACTGGAGATGTTCGTTAAATTTGAGATTACGGTGAAGCAGTTGTGCGACCATCTTGAGGCTGCGCGACTCAACGATCATCTTAATAACCCGATGCTGGTACAGGAGTTGGTTGACAAGTTACCACCGAGTTACAAACTGGATTGGGTGCGGTACAAGCGAGGAAAGGAAGATAGTCCGCTGAGGATGTTCACGGATTTCATGACTGAAATAGTATCCGACGTGTCCGAGGTGACGGAGTTTTCTACGCTGTCGGTGAACGAGCGAGCGTCGCATGGGCGAGAGAATCCTAGAAAGAAGGAGTTTGTGCATGTGCACGACTCTGAGCAGAAGCAGAGCGAAGAACTACGCAGAGAGGTGGTCAGCCGTCCTTGATGGATTTGTAAACGGACGGATCACATGATCAAGAGCTGCGAAGAGTTCAAGCAGATGAACATTGCGCAACGACTAAGGGAAGTGGACAAGCAGAAACTGTGTGGAGTCTGTCTTAACAAGCACGGTGGAAATCGTTGTTTTTCGAAAATCCGGTGTATGGCGCGGAACTGCCAAGGCAATCACCATCCTCTATTGCATCGGGTGGAAGAATCTGTTCAATTGCAGAAAGCCAAATCAGACTGCACGGTGATTTTCCGGATGATGTCGGTGACGCTATATGTCGGTAAGCGACAGTACGACACTGTTGCATTTCTGGACGAAGGGTCGTCTGCTACGTGGGTGGACGATGGGGTGGCCAAACGGCTGAAGGCAGAAGGAACGCTTGAACCACTCATAGTCACGTGGACCGGAAACATCAACCGTTTTGAGAACGAATCGCGTAGTGTAGAGATGATGATGTCGGCGAAGGGCTCCAAGGAGAAGTTTTCGTTGTTCAACACACGAACGGTGTCCGAGTTGCAGTCCTCACAACAGAATGTACGATACGCTGAGATGGTGAACCGTTATCCGCATCTTGTTGGAGTGCCGGTGAGAGATTTTCCGTCTGGACTTCCAACGATTCTAATCGGATTGGACAATCTCCATCTGTTCGCGCCGTTGGAGTCACGGGTCGGGGAACCGAACGAACCAATCGCTGTGCGGTCGAAAATCGGATGGACGATTTACGGATCGGAGAAACGGAAGCCGCGTGTCCATACTTACCTGAATCTGCATTGTGTCACACCAGTGAGTAACCAGGAACTGCATGACATGATCCGAAATCAGTACGTGCTGGATGAAACTGCAGCAGCATCATACGCACCCCCAGAACCAATTGAGGAGAAAAGGGCTCGCGAGATCCTACAAGCGACGACAAAAAGGGTAGGTAATCGTTTCGAAACGGGCCTATTGTGGCGTGAAGATGAACGGCGATTTCCGGACAGCTACCCGATGGCCGTTCGAAGGATGCGAGTGCTTGAGCGAAAGCTTGGGAAAGATCCTGCGTTGAAACAGAAGGTATGTCAGCAGATTGAGGACTATCAGACCAAGGGCTATGCACACAAGATAACTGCAGAAGAACTAGCAGATACTCCAAGCTCGGTGGTGTGGTATCTTCCGTTGAATGTGGTGCTAAATCCGAAGAAACCTGGTAAAGTGCGCATGGTGTGGGATGCGGCTGCATCAGTTGGAGGAGTGTCGTTGAACTCGGAATTGGTGAAAGGTCCGGACATGTTGGTTCCCCTTCCGAAAGTTGTTTGCTGTTTCCGGGAAGGTCGAATTGCATTCGGAGGCGACATTCAGGAAATGTACCACCAGATGAATATTCGGTGTGAAGACAAGCAAGCACTACGATTTCTGTTCGGGACGGATGAAAGTGGAGCACCTCAAGGATACGTGATGGACGTGGCAACATTCGGCGCCACGTGTTCGCCTTGCTCCGCCCAATATGTAAAAAATCTGAACGCGGGACAGTTCGCAGAGCAGTATCCAGAAGCAGCGGCAGCGATCATTAAGAAACATTATGTGGACGATTACTATGACAGCGTAGATACCGTCGAATAAGCGATACGAAGGGCCAAGGAGGTGAAGTACATCCACTCGCAGGGTGGATTCCATATACGAAACTGGGTGTCTAACTCGGAGGCATTCCTAGAGGAACTCGAAGATCGCAGTGCAAATGGAGCAGTTCATTTTTCCCGGGATAAAGACGCCGAGTATGAGCATGTGCTGGGCATAGTTTGGAAGCCGATGGAAGACGTATTCTGTTTCGCAACTATGTCGAAAGCGGAATCCTTTATGGTTATCGGTGGCGAAGAGTATCCTACGAAGCGGATTATCCTCAGTTACGTGATGGCGCAATTCGACCCAGTGGGATTCCTCACTCCGGTTACTATACTTGGAAAAATGCTGATCCAAGATCTCTGGCGGACCGGCTGTGATTGGGATACGAAAATCAATCAGATTTCCTTCGAAAAATGGCGGCGATGGATACAAATGATGAAGAACATCGGATCGTTCCAGCTACCGCGGAGTTATTTCGGAAATGCCAGATCAGATGAAGTTACGGACATACAGCTGCATGTATTCGCTGATGCAGGCGAGGCGGCGTACGGAAGCGTGGCGTATTTTCGGGCAACTGTACGAGGTAAAGTGCAGTGTGCGCTGGTCATGAGTCGTGCCAAAGTGGCACCGTTAAAACAGATCTCAATACCGCGACTGGAGCTTCTAGCGGCCGTTTTAGGAGCACGTCTATCACGAATGGTGTTCGAGAGTCATAGCTTTACAATTGACCGGGTGGTGTATTGGATCGACGCAAACGTAGTGCTCTCATGGATTCGATCTGACCAGCGAAGGTATAAACAGTTCGTCGGGTTTCGGATCGGCGAGATACTCAGCCTAACGAAGTTGACGGACAGGCGTTGGGTGCCGTCAAGACTAAACGTGGCAGACCAACTAACGAAGTGGGGCAAGGAACCCGAAATGCATACTGACAGCACGTGGGCGCGAGGACCAGCGTTTTTGTACAAGAGTGAGCAGGAGTGGCCAGAAAAGGAAATGCCACCAGCGAACACGATGGAGGAGCTCCGGATTCACCTCCTATTACATGACGTGAAGGTGCCTGCGGTTTTTGTGGACGTAAACCGTTTCTCGAAGTGGACAGTGTTGGTCCGAACGATGGCGTGCGTGTTCCGTTTCGTGTCGAACTGTAAGCGAAGGATTGAAAAGCTGCCGATTGAGACGCTAAGAGCGACAAGCGGACAAAAGAAAGCACGGAAGTCGAGAACCATTGCATCGGTCAGAGTTCCGTTGCAGCAAAAGGAGTACGAGAAAGCGGAGCAGTGTCTGCTGAAAGTGGCGCAGTCGGAGAGCTTCATCGACGAACTGAAAGTGTTAACGAGAAACAAGGATCGTCCGGTGAGCCAGTGGATCGAAAAGTCTAGTCCGCTATACAAGCTGACTCCGCTGATCGACGAGAATGGACTGATCCGGATGGAGGGTAGAGTGGAGCGAGCGGAATTTCTGCCATTCGATCTGCGATTTCCGGTGATTCTGCCGGATGACCATCGGATCACGAGGCTGATAGTTCAGCACTACCATGAGAAGAGTGCCCACGGGTACCGTCAAGCAGTGAAGAACGAGTTGCGGCAGATGTATTACATCCCGCACATAGATGCAGTAGTCAGGAAGGTATCAGCGTCCTGCGTATGGTGCAAGGTGAATCGTTGTCGTCCTGAAGTTCCTACACACAAAAAACAAAAATTGTTGCTTTAAGAATAATGCATGATCAAATTAAAAGTTTCCCAAATTTCGTAGTTTCAACTATGAAATTTTTCAAATGTAAAATATTTTTTTTGATTTAAAAGTGTTTCTTTCACTTTCGGCTTGTAATTTTAAAAGTCTATTTTTTAGAATAAAAGTTGTAAAATTGTCAAAAAATCTCTTCCTTGCGATGTGTTTGACAGTACTGGACCTGTGTTTCCCGCCAAATTGGACATGCGAAACAAACAAACAAAACAAAAACAGCTGTGAGAATTAGCATGAGCAGCAGCAGTTTCTTGAACTTTTCCACATTTTCATCCACCGGTGCGCTTGTTTCTCTTCTGTAAGATACAAATAATAAGATGGAGACATTCGTGGTGACGCTATGAAGTGGAAGGATTGGAAGGATCCTCCAGCTGCGGGATTTGGAGGTAAGATGATGAAATTTTCGAAGAGTTTGCTTGGTTCCGATTTTCCTAATTGATGTGTTTTGATTTTCAGCAGCCTCGTCAGAATTGCCGGAAAGGAAGGCTACTCCCACCATCACCATCACCAGCTGTTCAGCCAACTGTATATTTGCGTAATACGCTTCCCATGCTTTGAAGTTCCATAATGCCGTGCCCTTTCAGTCAGCATCATATAAATAAACTAAAATATATCAAATTAAATATTTCTATGCTTTATTTCTTTCAAAGTAAAAAGCAACTGAATTAAAAAGAATTCATATTTGAAATGAAAACATAAATCATTGCGATAAAACTGCCCATCTTTTAAATTAAATCCTTTCATAAGTCTATTTAAAAAAATAGGTTTTCATATTGACAGTTCTACAATTCGATTTGAAAGTTTCTACTTTTAAAAGTAAAAAACGAGTTACTTTCGAATTAACAGTTAGCTGACTTTTGTTTTGAAAGCTAAAGACTTTCTACCAAAAAGAACCAACGGAAACTTTTAATTCTACCAATGGATTTTTCAATTTTACTAACGATAATTTTTTGTGTGTAGGATGGCTCCGCTGCCAGTACAGCGGGTCACACCGAATCTACGTGCTTTCAGCTACGTCGGGGTCGATTATATGGGACCGTTCGATGTGACCGTAGGACGTAGATCAGAGAAGAGGTGGATTGCGCTGTTTACCTGTATGGTAACACGTGCGGTTCATTTGGAAGTGGCACATGGGCTGACCACCCAGTCGTGTTTGATGGCGATATATCGGTTTATTGGTCGCCGGGGCTGGCCGATCGAATTCTTCTCGGACAACGGGACAAACCTACGTGGAGCTAGTAAGGAAGTGGTGGAGGCTGTACAGGGCATTAGAGATGACTGTGCAGACCAGCTAACGAACGCGAGAACGAAGTGGACGTTCAATCCCCCCGCCGCACCTCACATGGGAGGCGTCTGGGAGCGCTTAGTCCGCTCAGTGAAGGAAGCGCTGACAGCGCTTGATGATGGAAGGCGACTAACGGACGAGATACTGCAGACAGCCATCGTTGAAGCGGAGGACATTATCAACTCCCGTCCGCTCACCTACGTGTCGCAGCAGTCCGACGAAGCAGAAGCGCTCACCCCGAATCATTTCTTGCGGGGAGCGTCAGCGAACCAGCCTGGTAGTATCTGTCTACCTCCCCATCCGGCAGTGGCCCTTCGGGATGCGTTTCAGCGTTCGCAGCAGTTGGCCAGCGTGATGTGGGAGCGGTGGATTAAGGAGTATGTGCCGTCGTTGAACCAAAGAACGAAGTGGTTCGGTGAGGCAAGACCGTTGCGAGCAGGAGATTTAGTTTACGTCGTGGAGGGTGCCAACCGGAAGTGCTGGATCCGCGGAATGGTGGAAGAGATCATCGTATCCGGCGACGGCAGGGTCCGTCAAGCATGGGTGCGTACCAATGCCGGAAGGTACAAACGAGCGACAGCGAAACTGGCCGTGATGGAGATAGCAGAGGGTAACCCTGAGCCGGATGTGGCTTCCCGGACAGAGTTACGGGCCGGGGAATGTTCTGGCAACACTGGCCGTTGCCCTCCTCCATCGCTGCAGTGAATTTGGACGATGAGGTAGTAAGTAGTATGACAGATGAAGTGACGGATTGAAGAGAGGAGGATAGATAGATGAATAGAAGATAATCTGTCAAAGAACGGAAGGTAGAAAATCACAAACAATATAGTATCGATTAGAAAGTGCTTAAAAGTGAGTTTTTTTAGTATTCTGTGCTTTGGGCATTTTGTAGAAAGTTTGTGGACAAATTTAGGTTAGTGGAGGTTACAAAACACGGAACGGCAAGCAGACGACTCACAGATAGGCGGAAAGAACATTTCAGAGCGGTCTAGGTAGAAGAAAGGTTGTTTGCAGGAGGAACAACAACTTTATTTACGGTTGATTTACAAAAAAAACGGTTTTGTTTTTCTTTGATCCGAACAATAACTTTTGACTCAAAAACCAGTATTTTTTAGCATGAAAGCTAGCGATTTGCATTTGTATGATTAAAACCCTACTAAATATGTTAAAAATAGCTATCACTATGAGATTATATGTGTTTACTTGGAAATAGGAATAACTTTTCGGTCATCAAAACAAAACTTTATTTTCCTCGGATTGGTGCGAATGTTACTTACGACATAATGAAAATTTTCTCTTGAAGTATACAATGAATTCCGTGTGTGCTATCTGCTTCTCCCTCCCAGGTCAAAACTAAACGTACTCATGGGACAAAGTGCAAAACTATGTTGGGATTGACAAGTTGACAAATGAACAACGTCGACCGGATACATGATTTGGCAAACTTGTCAGTCCTAATAAAAATTGTATGGTTATTTTGCTTAACGACGTGTTCGGGGTATCACCCAAACCATTTGTGGAAAAGTTCAATCATATGGGTTATCGTTCGTTTACGGTAATGTTTTATTAAGGTACCCAGTGATGCAAAATCTCAACAATACACGGCGATATTCAAAATTCTGCATTGGTCACCAGGGTTACCAAAACTACAGATAAATCTGTATTTCTACAGATTTTTCAGAGTTTTTAAAACCAAGATTCTGTATTCACAGATTACAGATTTCTAGGATTTTAACAGATTACACAGATTTTTTTAAAATATGATCAAACATTTAATAAATTAAACTTGAGATGTTTAATAACAACACATTATTTTCACTTCAGTGAAATTTTATCATCACAAATTTTTACATATATATATGCATGTTTTTTTGCGGAATGAAAAAAGAATGAGAACTGTCAGAGGTATTCTTTTTTGCCAATTTATGATACATATATTTGTATCTATTTTTTGTCTCTGTCAGAAAAATTGTTCAATCACTATCCAACTGACATTTTTTAAGGATTCAATTAATAAATTATCAACGCAGATATCATCACAGATTTTCTGGACAAAAACTGAGATGAAAAAAAACAATTTTTTGAACAAAAACACACATTTCCTTTTGGCAACCCTGTTTATCACTCATTTGAGCTAACAGTCACCGTCAATGCAAACCATGTCAATTGTCAGTGAACAAAACAATTACATGGAGCCGTTAAAGAGAACAAGCATGTACGTCCTGAGCTACTTCACTGAGGAAATTGTTCATATTTCGTTTATGTGTTATTGCAATAACGACCTCTGCGGGGATTTGTGCATCCGTCAAACCGGCTAACATGCAAGTAATACGCCAACAAAGTATTAAGTATGGTTTTAAGTACACAGAAAAAAAGTTGTTGAATATTACATCCAAACTGCTGCAACCAGGTCAATCCATCGGTTGTGTAATATAACGTTGTACGATGTACATCGATTTTGCGAACAAAATTACATCCATTGATGTAATATTGTATCTGCTTTTTGCTATTACATCATTATTTCATACATCAGCGTGAATTACATTGATCGATATTACATTTTTTTTGCTGTGTACATGCCTCTTTATTTGATTGCTGCACCAACAATTTGCCTGTCCCTAATCTGCCTAATGTTCTTTTATATGCTATCACATTCAACTTTTCTACTCACGGACCGTTGGCATATTGGGCTGACGCGTCAACCCCACTGTGCTGATCCAAATGGCTATCACCATCCGAAACTGCTGCTTCTCGCTTCTCTTGGGCGTCTCGGGACGCTGTTCGACCAGCCACCTTCCTCTTCCGATGATCACTCGCGAAGGTCCCTTCATGCGGCGTACCAATCGCCGGGATGTTGTCAAAGATCTGCTTGCGCGAGGACGCCCGCTCCAGATGGTACCGTTTCCAGCTGCAACTGCACGCCACCGCTCGCCATTCAAGAACCCGATTCGGTGCGGGTATGCGTTAACCGTGCGTGTCGGTGTCCGTGCCGCTTCACGATACGTCAATAAATGAAATCTCCTTAGCTGTGAATTAAATGAAAAAAAGTGCCCTACGGACGAATACCGTTACACAGCAAAAAAAAAATGTAATATCGATCAATGTAATTCAAGCTGATGTATGAAATAATGATGTAATAGCAAAAAGCAGATACAATATAACATCAATGGATGTAATTTTGTTCGCAAAATCGATGTACATCGTACAACCACAGACAAACAGACATAACACTCACAAGTTGTTCATCGAACAAGCATTTAACGGTCAATTTAAAAGTATCTCAGTTGGTAGTACTGCCACCTGTGGCGCGCATAGTCAATTCCCTTGCGTTTGACGTGTACACACTACCGCCATCTGTTCAGCGTACTACCCACCACAGTGTACTCAACAGATGGCGGTACTGTTTTAGCGACGATGTTTTACAATAAAAAATATTCAATGTGTTATGTCTGTTTGTCTGTGGTATAACGTTATATTACACAACCGATGGATTGACCTGGTTGCAGCAGTTTGGATGTTATATTCAACAACTTTTTTTCTGTGTAGTCCGAGTAATGCAGAACAGCACGATGGAGTCTTACTTCCTGAGAAGGCTCTTTTGTCTCGTGTAATGGGTTTCTTGACGGCTTGTGGCTTGTTCGATGTTGTCCGTGCGGCGGATTGCGGATGCGGATAGTTCTTC